CAATGAGCAGACTGCACATTCACTGGTGCTAAGGAAGGAAAAAAGTGAAACTGTGCCTGAAGCAAGGAGGGTAGGACTAGTTTGGTGTGCTTTTCATTTTTTTTTTTTTTTGCATGTAATGCACCTTGGCAGCTTATAATCAGATAAAAATATATTGTGTTTTAAATTCATAAACTTCACCGATAAGCGAAGAACATTTGTTTTATGAAAGGAGCATGGCCCACTCCATTTATCTCCAAATTCCACATGTAAAAAAGCCAATCCACCGAGAGGGTTTTTTTCTCCTGTAATGACTTTACCATCTGCTTCCTTTCCAGAGACAGGCCACCTGAGCATGTGCAACTACACTCACTATCAGTAGCTCCATGGCAGATTGGAGAATCCAGAGTTAAAAGAAATCCTCTTTTTTCTGTTTAAGATCTTTCAAGTGAAGATGTGTTGATGACCTTGTGTGATTGTGGTAGCCCGAGCAAAGTTTATCTGGAATTAAACAAATACTTCATATCTGAAAAATCCTTACAAAATACCTGTACTCACCAGGTACATTTCTTCTGCAGCTGGTGTCAGAACTGGCATGCTATTCAGTCCCACGATAAACCGTGACTGACCCTGGAATGCTCCTCTAGCCTAGTAAGCTTTTCCGATTCCTCTGCTCCTTTCCAAGTACTGCATGAATGTACAATCAGGAAAAGAAAAGTCTGCTGGCTGAGGAAAGGCACAAGATGAGCAGGTGCCATGAAGGATTCAACATGTCCAAGTATTTTAAGTTTGATTTGCAAATCTTTCTTCAGCTTTTGCTACTTGTTTGTCTAGAATCAACATATCATGCCCTCCCCAAAAGCAAAGATGATTACTAAAATCCAGTGGGATTTTATAGTGGAATCAACTACAACTGTCCCTTCGTTCAAAAGCAATTTTCTCTCAATTAGTGCCTTCTAAGCATTATCACATTCAATACATAAATGATTCAAATTATTCAAAATGTTTTGTTGTTATTTCCAAGACAAAATTTTATTATTTTCCAGAGATCTACCTGGACATATTTCTTAACAGAATTCTTAGGCTTTGAAGAAGTGTGCTGCAAGTTCTTTGCTTTTGCATGGTTGGGATAAAAAAAATCCGACCCAAACCTGGATTTAATTACAGAAGAAAAATTTAAATGTTCAAATTGTTTTATGCTTCCAGCATCCCTAAAATACCATCCAGCTTTCTTCTGAAGTGCAAATCATCTTTATTTTCAAATTAATTTCAATTGGAAGAACCTATGCCATGCCCCTCTTGAACATGGACAAATTTAAACTTAGCCTTTACCTTAAACACTTGGAATCTCTCCACGGTAATGGCAGATTTTGAAATCTATTCCAGTGCTCAAGTCTGTGGAGCTCATCTCCTTCCCCCCTCCCACCCCAGCCCTTTCATCTTACTGAAGGAAATGAGAAAGAAAGTTGTCTTACCGATAACTCCAAGGTTAATGTCCCCTGCGAACCCCACCTAGCAAGTCGACATCATGACATGTCAGGTCAGCCTCAATCACGCTTCCCTGATAGTCAGGTAAAAGGAAGGAGTTAAAATACAAAATTGACACTTGCAGATTTCTGGACATCAGAAAACGTGATGCAATATATTCTGAACTGTCTTTCAGAGCTTCTGGTAACCTCTAAGTTGTTAAAACATGTCTTCGGAGATATTCTCCTGTTCTAAACTTTCAGAAGTTCGTGATCAATAACCAAGTATCACAGATCCACCTTGACTATTTTGTTTCAATGAGACCAAAAGCATAAGGTTTCCCTTTAACACAAACAATTTCCCCCCCCACCCCCCACATTTTATCAGTTAATATACGCTCAACATAACCCCTCTGGGTTTCAAAAGACAATTTAAGCAAACAGACTACAACAGCTTCATTCAAATTCTAAGTTAACAGAAGCTCTAATTTCTTTTTGTTGTTTTTTTTAGAAAAAACTCAGAACACAACTGGGTATATCTATAAGGCTCTGAGCTACTCACGTTGTTCACGTGAATGTCACAATTCCACTGAACAACCTCCATTGTACAAGCAATCTTTAATCACACACACTCCACCTCAAGTCATGCATGATCAAAGATTGCTGATGACAGATTTGTAGGACAGGTCCTTACTGTTCTATGGATGGGCCACCAGTACTCTGGATAACAAGACTTGCTGAAAATTATGTACATCTACAGGAGGGTCTACATGTCTGAGAGGTTTAAGACTTTTTGCTCAATACCTCAAACTTACTTCCCTGCTAGCCTTATAATAAGAGTGCCCTCTGTATTTTTTTTCTGTGTAGTTCAAAATACAGAAATGGGCTTCATGTCCAAATATAGAGGGGGCAAAAAGTGGTCAGGTTTTTATACAGTCACCAAAATCATGCGGTGATCTTCTACTTTGAGTTTATTTTGGAAAGGTTTAAGCAATGCAGTTGTCATTCTTTAATAATCACACTACAGAAGCTGAGACCTGAAAATAAACAATTGCTAAAAAAAAAAATTAAACCTTTAATTAGTAAAATCATAAGTTGAATTTAGTAAACTGATTTTGTTAATAAAGTGAAATTAAGTCTATAATAACACAATAGCTATAAAAATACTTTGCTCAAGTTTTGGAACTGCTAGGAATCTGATAACCTACTTCTTAAGTCAAACACCGTATCAATACAGACATTTAAACAACTGCTATAAATGAGTGATCAAATGATTATTAAAATCCCATTTCATGGCTCCTCCTCCAATGCCAGCAGGACACTCATAAAAGCCAAATATTGGTGTGCAGGTTGAAATCCATTTTCAACATATTATAAAGGATTTTTGTTAAGATATACTGAAGAAACAATCACAACAGATGCACAAGAGCAAATTTAATTTTTTTTTTTTTTTAACTGTATATCAAAATTGTGCTGAGAAATTCTTCCCTGGAGTCAGGCATGGTAGTTTTCCACTGTGCTACAGTATCTTTGCTCCGTAATTTTTTTCAGTAATTTCATTAAGTTCTTCAACTTCAGCACACACCACTACTTGAGTAAGCTGTAGCACGCATTATCTTTAAGGATTCATTAAAGTACTTCTGCAAATTTAAATGGTGAATTTGAGTAGCCATAAACCGTGAAAATCAAAGAATTTGGTGAATCTTCTAAATATAAACTTTTACTGACTTTAATTCTTATAATTTTCAACTATAAAATGTATAGCTCGCTACTCATATTTAACAAAACTATTAGTATAAATGGTGATCTGGGCCATTATACAAGAAGTAAATACAAGATGCAGCTTTACAGTTCTCAAGGAAGACAATTTTACATTTTTGTTTTTCAGCTGTTTTGTAAGCACTAAAACTGAAGTGCGTTGCTTCCTCCCCACTCCCCCCACACCATGTACTGGCATCTCACCTCTCCTGGACTAACATGTGCAGTACAGGAACACTACCCTTCTTCCAGGCTGGAGAGTGATTTAAACGTGATTCCAATTAAGCTCCCTTGTACTAGATTCCCTTTACAATGAATGCTGAAAAGCCAGTACTTATTGGGACTACAGGGTTCTACTCAGCACCACAACAGCTGTTTAACTACCAGAAAGTCATACTGATAGGGCAGCAAAACTCTCTGTTAAAACAAAATTATAAGCCAGATCCTTATAACAAGCTAATGCCTGAAGTCCAGGCAATAGCACTCTGAGTTCATTGCTCAGGTAGGGAACAGAGAGGACAGGATTTGGCCCTCAAAAAACAAACAAACGAAAAAACCCCAACAACATACTAGATACTGATTTTTTAAAAGTACTTTTGAGTTCTTTATGACCAATTCTATTAACTGGAAGAGCCTGACGCAGGGGCAAACCCTTTTCTGAGAAGCAGATAGACATCTTTGTTTCAGGTCAGAACTCAAACCCTGCAATCCCATTCCAGATCCACAGCGGTGTGGGGAGGCTCATCTTACTGAGTACACTCTGACCTAACACACTTGAGACACCAGACAGGAATAGAAGACAAAGGGAGGAGTATGACCACTGAAGTTTAACTTCCTCAATAGTCTGTGTTTGGAATGCTGTAAATCAAGTACGAGCAATGTATTGGATTTGGATATTTAGAGGTCCAGCAATAGTTTTCTTTAGAGAAAGTACAAATCCGTTTGTTTCTCTCTTTTCTTGAGAAGCAAATGTTCTTCATTGGGGTACAGAATGGCTCAGATGCAACACAAGAGTAATGTCATGACTTGCCAGTTAAAATTGACATCTGGGAGTGTCCAAGACAAGGGTCAAAGCAACACAATATAATGTAGCTAGCAATGCCCCCAAAATATACTTTTTTTTTTAAACAGCCTTTATTAGAAGGCAGGAGAATTCTAAGGCAAATTGTTCATCATGGCAGAACATCAAATTAAAATGTCAAGACAGAAATAAGCAGAATCTGAAGAGTATTTTTGTGTTATCCATAGCAAGAAGCTAGTTTACTGTGCCATAGCACCCAAGTTGTAATTCTCATTCCTAGTCAGAGATTATTTTAAATTAGACTAAGATGCTTGAGATCAAAATCATCTCCCTGTGTGTTTGTACGCTGAATAATACAGTAAGGCTGGATCCTACCAGAACAGCCTCCACAGGGACTCCACAGGACATAATCAAAGGAACAAAATTAACACCATTGTAGGCTCTGCTTCCTTCTCCATGTTACATTAGAAGACTAGATTTAAATTAGATCTCTGTGAATGCTTAGATACAATTCAACACTTTCAAAAAGGAAAAAAAAGTTTTAAAATTAGATGCTGGTAAATTATTGAACAGCAATTAAACAAAGAGTGCCTTTTGGGCTGTCTGCATTTTCTCCTAGTTTTCAGTCTGATGTCCACAGTGCTACATGTTGGAAAGCACAGGAAATTTTGCGTGAATTTGATCACTCACATAGGCAGTTATACTTTGAAAACAATATTTTTCACAAGAATTACCAATGAAATAATGTTTTAGGACACAATTGAATTTGAAATAGGTAATGTTTTGAATAGATTTTTGAGTTTTATTGAAATCTTACATGAACAAGAAATTGGAAATACAATCACATCAAGGAACAAATTGCCACGGCTTTGACGTTTTAAGCCAAACAAATTTTGTAGGGCAGATTTTCAAAAAGGTGTGAAGTTATAACAATTTAAAAACACAGTTAACCTACTTCTAGGAATGCAAAACATACAATCATGTTATTTTCAATACAAGAAAACTTAATTTGTTGTAATTTCTTAAAACTACTAAGACAAAGCACTAGCTTTTACTTTTATGTACAGCATACTCCTATGTAGTCTATCCCAAATCCAAAAAAAAAAAAAAAAAAAAAAGAAACTGTCCAAAACCAGAGGTTCTGCAAAATCATGATTGAACAGTGTGCCATTCCTGCTTTTAAACTGCTAAAATGAAGCCTAAAATGATAAAAGCACTGAAATCCCATATGGAGTTCAGGAATTCTGCAAGCCCAGTAATGTCCAAGTGCGTTTATGAAAAAAGAAAACTAAGAGACTCGAGTATATACACAATAGAGTGATTCTTCAGCCCAATACAAATGGCAGCCAATCGCTACTTAAGGATGAAACATTTAGCCAATTTTGTTTTGAAGGATGTAGAGCTATAGCCAATTCTATGTTTCCAATATTCTCAATCCCTCCTCACTTGTCTACTTCCACTGTTGCCCATAAGTATCCTGATAAAATTCCTGGTTGTCATTATTGTAACCATAGTTACCGGCATAGTCACCACCTTGCTGGAGCGGCTGCTGAGCGATGGGTTGGGAGCCCCAGTTCTGCTGGTTGTTGGTCTGACGGCGCTTGGAATCGGGCTGGTTGTACCCGTCTGCCTTTCTCTTGCCTCCTACGTTGCCCCCACGGTTGCCCCTGGCTCCACGAGCACCGCGTCCTCTCTGCTGCTGTGCGGGACCCCCTCTCCCCCCCCTGGCTCCTCTCGGCGGTCCCATGGGTGCCCCCCTCTGTGAGTAGCCAGCTCTACCTCTTGGTGGTGGTGCTCCCCGCCCCCTAGGTGGTGGAGGGGCACCTCTCCCACCCCTTCCTCCTCCTCCTCTTCCTCTTATAGCATAGCCATCATCATAGCCGTAATAGGGATCTTCATAGCCACCACGGTAGTCATGATAGTCATAACCGTAGTAATCATCGTAATAATCTTCATAGCCATAGTAATCTGGGGGATAGCCATATCCACCTCTCCCTCCACGGCCTCTGCCTCTAATAGGAGGTGGCATGCGAGGCGGAGGGTAGTAATAATAGTCTTCGTACCTAGTAAGAAAAAGAAACACATAGTTATTTATCCCCAAAAGCCTCCCAAAATAAAGTACACATTTTCCCTTTTTGATTAATAAGACACAACACAGAGAAAAGTTAAGTCAAATCACTCTAAACCAGCCCATGTTTTATAGCAGAACTTCACTCTGCAGTGTTACCACAGTGCCAGGGTGACACTCACGCAGTGCTCCGGGAGGCCTGTCTGGCAGCCTGACGTTCTTTCCTTTTCTTATCCGGTGGCTTTGCTAACACTATTTCAATTTCTTCCCCTTCTATTTCTTTCCCATTCATTTCATTCATAGCCTGTACAAAAATAGAAAAGAAATAACTAAAAATTTGTTTCCATTCAAAATGAAACTAAAACTTACAGAAACCAGAGGGCTGGGCTTCTCCAAGTTGAGCTGTTGCCATGTGCTTTGCTTCTGTGCTGCACAAACAGAATGCTACACATCACTCTTATGTCTCAATTACAGTGAAGCAGCATTTTTTTAAAAATGCTCTCTTCATATCATAAGGTAAAAAAATGGGATTAAAGCATATTAAACATAATTTTAAAAAGGTCAGACATAACACCATTACATATGTTCCTATATCCCCTAAAAACCTCAAAATACACAGGTTCTCACTATTCACACTGAGGCATTCACTGTACTTGAAAGCCTGTTAGAGCACATGCATGCAAGAGAAAGGATTGTTGCATTTGGGATTCCCAGTTAGCTGAATGTGAGTGAAGTGCCTCTGAGAAAAATCAAGTATTTCTGAGAGGACACACACTTGAGGCAGGGAAAAAAAAAATTACTGAAACTTGGTGATCTCATCAAGCAAGCCACAAATCCTCCAGAATATTAATGTGCAATTTTTAACTATCAAATGCACCCGCAAAGAGAACTTAATACATAAGAGACAAAGTACAATTAGGACTACACCCTCCAATTCTTCACCTGGAGTTATCTGCTTTGCATTGAATGTTTCTGGGTATTCATATTTGCATTAATGAAGACTTTATAGGTCTTTACAGCTACGTGCCTCAAAAACATTAGAAATTATGGCAATTTATTTCCAAGAAGGTGAAAATCAGTAGACAGTGGAACCAATGAGCCAATTCCATGCATTCCACACATGAATACCTTAACATCTCATTAAAAAACAAACCACACCCGTACACACAAAATTATCTCATAAAATTCATAAACCAATTTAGTGGCCATGACGCAGTCACATAGGGCAGGTGTGGTAGTTTTCAGCTTTGTCTCAGAGCAGATGAGCATTAGAGATGTATTTGATCTGTCTTTTCTCATCTGCTACAAGTTTCTGGTTGCTGAAATCTAATGGAGTATTTAGCAGGAAGGTGTAGTGGGAAGGGGCTGGAGAGTGTTTATAGACACACTACAAAAAACCATGTCCAGAGGTGTTGCTGACTTACCCCTTCTGTCAACAATTTCTTGTCCTCACTTGGACATGGTCTAAACCTATTCGAGCTAATCTCAACCTCGTTAAATACAAGTGACATTCATCCTAAAGCCAAACTCTAAAACCTAATCTCATGGGTAGGAAAACTGTAAGCAATTAAATGGTTATAAAATTATTAACAAGGTCAAGGACAGAGCCTTTGAACTGTCCATGTAGCCACATACATCACATACAATATACCTGCTTCACATCTCCCAGGTGCAAAACACACTTCCTCCCCTCCTTCCCCCCATAAACCATGGATTTAAAAACCAGATGGAGTAATTTCTATTGAATTCAGTACACTGAAGTACAAACACCAGATACAAATAACCTTCTCAACAGCTTGTGAACACAAAGGAAGAGAACCTTGAAGCTTACAGTAATGACCTTCAGTATTTAATAAGTCATTAAGAAACTGTCTCAGGCACATGTAGAGTTAAAAAGAGGTAATGCATTATGGGAGTTGCCAGCACCATTCTCCTCCACTTCATAAGGCATTTTTTCATTACCTTGCAATTTTTATTTGATACTTGTGTCACTCCAAAGCTACACATAGCCTTTAAATAGAGGTCTTCGAGAGACAACTGATACCTTCTGCCAGTGTTTCCTCAGAAAAATTGTCTAGGTTGATCTTTTTATTTTCCTCTTCTCTAGACTCTCCTGCATTGCTCTACACCTCTTTTCCAGTCTACTTGTTAACTTGCTACAGTTTTGTCCTTTCAAGTTTCACATCCTCCTAGCTACTGAAATCACAGGAACAAAATTATTAGCGTTAAAATTCTCACAATGGCAACTTTATTAACTGGGCTCTACAGTTTGTCTTATTGAGGTAATTACTGTAAAGAAATTTCTTAAAAACCACTTGTACAAAAGAAACTGCTCACATCAACTCAGCTAGGAAAGAATTAACAACCCACCTTCACTGCTGCACCTCTGTCCTCAAAATGAACAAAAGCATAATCCTTCAGCTTCTTTACTCTTTCCAGCTTTCCAAATTCAGAAAAAGATTTCTCAAGAATTTCTTCTGTCACAGTAGTGGCCAAGTTTCTTACGAATAAAACTTTTACCTGGTGAAAAAATGAGAACAAAAGCTGTAATCTTTAAAAGTCAAACCTCAAAGGAAACTACCAACTAGCAAGATATTATTCCCTTCCTTGTTGCATTAAGAAATTGGAGTATTAGCTCTGTAACTCTTTTGAAAAAGTGCCTTGTAGTTACCCGTATGAAGTTTCTACAACTTTTCTCCTTCCACTATTCCTTCCATGACCAGAAGAATATCCCACTTTGATTTTCTGTTTCTGGGATGCTACAACTCCCAGTAAAATTTTAGTAATAGACCTCAAGGACAGTAAAGAGTTACTCCAAAACACTAGGATAAGAAGCACGTAATTTCCCACACTTCACCTTCTTGTCATTCTGAAAAACAGTTTTATGCAATACCCACCTGGCATTCGTTAAAGCCAGAGCAGATAATGCACAGCCTGATGTGTCAATCCAGCAGGATAACCCTGTACACTACTAGTTTAGATGTTAACAGCATGTTCCAAATGTCTTCCCATGGCAACTCAGCCACAGTGCTCAGGTTGTGCCATTTGCTCAGCTTACTGTGAAAATGCCCTCATTACTTTTTGTGCCTCAAATCTCACATTGCTCATCTGGAACAAATCTTCACCACTGTGGCATAAAGAAATAATCCTCCCAAAACACCAGAGCATCCAGTGGAGTCTTTACTGACCTTTGCCATGACTTCTGGATCAGGTTCCTCTACTGGATCAGCCCATTCCACTGTCACAACATTTCCCCAGACTTTTACTTTCCCACTCATCAGGCGTCGGCGAGCTTGTGCTGCTGACTTGTGATCCTCATATTCCAAGAAGCAGAATCCTCGATTCTTCTTTTTATCATCAGGTTGATGATACAAGATTACATCCACCAAACCCTCTGAAAAACAGGTCTTTAGTATTGAGCTTTGAAAGGAAAGAGAAAGTCTAGTCTACCCAAAAATGCCTTCTTTTGTGCTTTGTAATTAATTTGATTTTAACACCTGAAAACACAAGAAAAGCAAAATGAATAAGAAATCCATCCAATTTTCCCAGAAACAGATCACCTAGCAGGTGAAGTTCTCCAGAACAAACCTCACAATTAGGCCCTGCAAAACATCAACCTAAGCAGTTCACACAGTGTAAGTTTGCTGTACTTTGTTTTACCATTTTTACATCTTTGAAAAGCAGCCAGCACTAACACATGGCCTCTCCCCTGCCTCCTGGGGGACCTGGAAGGAATTTCTTCCACATCTCTCCAAAAAGAGGAGAAAGAAGTAAATGAATATTCACCTTCTGTTTTCACCACTTCCCTGAAGTACTAATAAATTGCAATCCTAAAAAAGAAGCAGGAGGTTAAAACTCTCCTATTGGAGCAAGAACAAATGACTCAATCTCTTATCTAAAGCAGAAGCACCCTTCCAGTGATGAGCTGATTTCTTCCTACTTGCTGCACATACTGGGGAACAATGCTGAAAAACTGGGACAAAGTTAGGCTGTCATAGTCCCTCTAAAACGATTCAGTATTCCCTCCTCCCCATCACTGCTCAGACACGCATTTCTTTCAGGTTCCCCAAAAAACTTCTCAGTGTTGACAGCAGAACCTCCTGTAGATCCAGTAACAGGAAGCTGCTGAAGAACAGGTAACAGATGCAAGACCTTCGTTTTTTCTGAGTTCATTTGTGCCATTTCCATCTCAAATTGTAAACTTACAGTATCATTCACTTAACCATCAGTTAAAGAAACACGATTCCCTTTACATTCCACCATAAGATATATTTCATACACAACATTTCTAACAAAACCAAACTCGGAATCCAATTTGGAAAGAGTTTAAATGATACCTGAACACATCTGTCAAAGAACTAGACCGACAAAATGGAGAGACTGAATGGTATTCTGAGAACACGTGGAAAACTCATTAAGTCTTACCTGTGACTTTACCAAACTCTTCCAATATGTTTTCCTTAGTCTTGTTCTTTGGAATTGACCCAACAAATAACCTGTTGTTTGCCACAGAGATGCATACCCCAAGGTGCTTTCCAGGACGGATTTCATAGTTGTCACACTGAAAAAAGAAAAAGCCATTAATTTGCTTTATCCACAATACTAGGCATGAAAATATCCCCAAATCATAAAATCTGGTATTTTCTTCATCATCTGCTACTTTTATTACATAGCATGTTGAATTGGCATTGCAGGAAAATTACTAGAAGAGCTGTTTTTGTGTCAGCATTCGCTTGGAAGAACAGTGCCAAGTTTAGGATTTTCAAAACTTCACAAGTTCTGCTGAATGGAAAGCTACAAAAAACAACTGATGTACAAAGAAAACACATAACATATACAAATTGCATGGGGTAAATTCATTCACCTACTGTTTATCTCAGACTTGAAAGATCTTTCTAGACAACTGGTGACTACTTCCTGTGCTGGGAGTCACTGTCATTGCTGCTGTTACCAATAAGCAAATACACGGCATTACAGATACTGTGAGTTCTTCCTCTTTCCTTGGATAGCTTTGAACACTGTGAGCATGTTTGCAGAGATAATCAAAAGTCTAAATCAGCATGTTACCTTGTTTCCCTCCCTAACCCCAACCGTAAGGCATTTTTTTGACCTTGTACATGTTAGGATTAAAAAACTTTACCATCAAGTTTTAAAACTTCCCATTAAAAAAAACTTAGCCCACTGCTTCAAGCTTGTAATCCACAGCTGGATTACCCTGAATAGCAAGACTCCCAATAGGTCTTTCAAGATACAAGAGTTCAATCTTTTTTTTTTTAAATTCAAGATAGACATCATCTTTGTTTTAGGTAGAATTTTCAAACAGAGCAGAAGAGGATGGATGTCTGATCATCAGCCTGCTTCTGAAAATCTCATCCAATTCTATAAAAGCAGGTTTTCAGCCATTCTAGTCCTAGCTGAGACAAAGCCCTATAGCTGATATAAATACCTTCAGGAACCTTCTTCATATTCCAGAGGAACTAAAACAAATGTTAACACTGGCACATCGCTTGCCAGAACTCCCATCACTTTAGTGTCTCCCCTTTCATCTCCCTCCATCAGTGAATATTTAAAGCAACCACTGTGAGCACCTTCAACTTGGTCAAAAGAAGAAAAAAGTTTCAAAACAATTTTTCCTTCATAAACAACAGTCACTCATATCCACTGATTCCAAACACTGCAACCCAACAGTAATTACTTCCAGAAACATATTTTGTGCATCTCCTTCAGGAAACATGCAAGTAGGTTCTAGAAAGAAAAAAACCCGCCTAAGCAGGGACAAGCAATCCCTAGTCCGTAACATAACAACTGCAACTATTTCTAAATATATTCAAATATCTGAAGGAACAAATGCTGCCACATTTAAAGCAATGACTCCTGAAGTCCTTACAGCACAACAGAATTGCTTTAAGTTTTTCCAGGTTTCAGGTTTCCCTGCTCCCACCAACTTAACTAAGGTATTTAGATTTTACCTCTCTTCTTCATGCAGGATCAGCTGAATTCTGCTAAGGCAAACGAGATTAAGCATTTCACTTGTTTTGGTTCAAAGTACACACAATATTCCACAGCCATATCCAAAACCTTGGGAGATGCACATTGATCTGCCTAGTTCTACTTCCTTCTCCCAGGCAGAGGCAAGGCCCCAGTCAGACTGCTGTCTCTCCCTTTAACTCCCTCGGGATTGCTCCGTGTCCTTTCCCAAGCTGCACAGCTGCAGGCCAGCCAGACTTCCAAACGGTGAGCAGACTGCACGACTGCCACAGGAAAGAACAAAAGGCCACTGGGAACCACCAAAGGAACAAAGTCAGAGACCTCCCTTATGGCAGCAACAGCTAAACAAGGCAGGTCCAATTAGCTCGTTACAGTAAAGGGTGATGAATCTTAAACACAGTGAATCTTAAAGAATATATTTTCCAGCTGGAATCAAGTACGCTCTTGCCATAATCACCCAAGTGTTCTGGCAGGCTGCAGCAGGCTACAGCAGATAACAGTCCTAAATATCTGTATATACTAAATAAAATCAGGAGGCAATTTTTAAGAGAGTAAAATTGAGTTTGTCAATGGATGCTTTAAGGAAACACTTCAAAGACTTCGTTACCTAAGAGGCTACCAATATGTTTGCTGTTTACTTTGTCTTGTCCTGTTTGAAAATAAGTTACTCACCAGTTTGACTGCTTCCTGTGCTGCATCTTTACTACAAAAAGTAATGAAAGCATAACCTCTGTTTTGACCAGAAAGAGGATCCATCATGAGGCGCAGATCCCAAATTGGACCAGCTTTCTCAAAGAGTGGTACCAATTCATCTTCATAAAGGTCTCGGGGAATCTTACCAACAAAAACCTAAAAAGGAAGAGAACACTTGAAATAAAGCGTTTTCAGAAATCCAAACTTATTTTTAATACTTGAAAGTTTCTGGGAAAGTAAAAACAGTGCAGCATAAACCAGCACAGCAGAAACACCACAGTCGTCACAGTGGTCAATGTGTATTGTATGTCCCAAGTCTTCTCACCCTCCCCTTGCTTGTACAAAGTTTTACATACAGAAAACACCATTTTGTTATTTATATTGAAGAGGTTATGAGTTTCCACTACTGAAGAGGTAAACGGTTCTTACTTGGTTTTAATTTTGGCAGTTGAAAACTAAGACCTTACAGACTACCTAGCTGAGCATCCTATGTTAAAGCAGGCCAAGCACTTCCTTGCTCTTGCAGTATTTTCAAATCACTCTACCTTAATCTTTCTTACAAAGTTAGAGACAGAAAAATAAATCTACAAAAATCCCTTTAATTGCCTAATACACATTATCCACTTTGAATATATATTGTAATCTTGTTTCTTGTCTGTATTTGTTTCAGCTTCCACCAATTGAATGTTTAATATTTGTCTGAGAAAATCTGGAGTTCTTGAGATTTTTTTCCTTACAATAATGGGTTAAGTTTTGTTAAGGAGTTTAATCTCTTCAGCTGAGGTCTCTCTAGAAACAGCCCCCCAGGATGTGCTCTCCTCTGAATTCTCAAAACCTCTGACTTGCTAATACAAGGAAAACATTCCAAACACCCATTAAGATCAAATTTTATTTATTTTAACTTCAAATATTTTTTGTAGTTAAAAACAAACAAACAAACAAAAAACAAACAAAAAACCCAAATAAAACCCAAACAAAAAAACAAACAAAACAAAACAAAAAAAGAAACCAAACAAAAAATGGCATGAGTCAACTTTTTCCTACTCAGCGAGGCGTATCTGGCACTAAAGGCATAGCAGAATTTCAGAATTAAAGACACTCAGCATGCCCATGTAAGCACCAATGCAACAAGCCCATGAGGAAAACATGACTTTGATTTGAAAAACATGGAACACAAATTTTCCTCCAAAGGAAAGACAGAACCTTTAGATGTTTCTTGATGTTATACAGATATTCCCACAGGGTGAGGGAAAGTGAGCAAGCAGCTGTATGGTGCTTGGTTGCCAGTTGGGATTAAACTACAACAATGATAAACTACAATTAGCATAGAGCATGGAGACCTAAGCAGAGCTTGAGAAGTTATGGAAATCAGCTACTATCTTTCAGTTCAAGGACTCAATCTAATTATTTCACACCACCACTAAGTTACTTTTTCTTCTGGGAACATGAATATTCCCTTTAGAAATCATACTTACTGTGATGCTTCTAAGCATCTTCTTGACAATAACCACAAGAGCTTCAGCATCTCAAAGGATGCAAAACTAATCTATTAATTAAAAGACATTCAAGAGGTGGACTGTTTTCTTAAATCTAATCTGGTGGTTTATAGAAGAATCTCCAAAACACACACAACGCTGTGATTGAGAGTATTCAAAGTGTTTAGCATAAACTACAAAACCAACTGCTAGAGGAATAGGTAAGTGTTTAAGCAAAATGAAGCATGGCAAAAGCCCCTCAGGATAAGCACTTTTTGTTTGCAGACACAAATGACAAAGTCAGTGTAAGGAGAGAAGGAAATACCCAATTAACTCTTTGCAGCCTCATTGATAAACACCCCAAACAGGTCTCCAAGTATCAACATCATGTGACCTCACTATAAGCAAAATGCTTTACAGTGAAGCATCAAGTCCTTCAGTAAAACGAACACTCAATATTACTATCAAATCCTATTGCCATTATTTTCTTCTTCAAAAGCTTCTGCACAGCTGTAACTTTGTCTTTATTATAGACTCTTCCAAAACATTCCAAAAAGGTCCAGCTGCTCTTGAAGCTCACCCACTTGAAAAAAATATATGGGACTGCTTCACCCCCCTAATCCTTTCAGCCAAGTGTTCACTGTGCCAGTCTGTTAACGTTCAACATGCCGAACACTCAGAAGATTATTTAGCAATAATCAATGCAGCTTTACTGCACAATGCTCAACTACATCTTGAGAGCTGAAGCTACAATTAACATGTAACGAAACTCAACTTTATATTTTAAAAAGACAAATTAGTTGGTGTACAAATATTAACAGTAGAAAGACCTGATGCATGTTGGGGGGAGAAAAGTCTACCTAGTACGCTTCTTCAAATCAGTAATAGTATTTGGGTATACTCAAAAATCAAAAGTTTGCCATTACTGACATCAGTGACAGCTCTGGCATCAACATATCTGAGCTGGCACAAGCTACGAGAGCTTCAGTGTTATTTAAATAAGTTTCAGAGCCCAAGAATGCACTGTCACAATCCAAAGTGATACATTTTTTTCTAATTTTTTACCTCTAACATTAGAAACGAAGCATATACACTTCTATATAACCAGAAGTGCTGAAAACAAAAGAGAAGTGGTTCTCAAAAGGGAAAAAAAAGGAAAAAAACCCATGACCAAAAAACAAAACCCCACCCACCTCTTTGGGGGGGGGGGGAAAGCACCCACAGTGATCTCATCACTTGTGTGCAAACATGCTCTGCCTACCACCAGATCCCAGCATCCTGTTTAAGTTGATTACTGTGCCTCAGAGCTCAACAGCAAGAGCTAAAGCCTAAATTTCATACAATTTCAGCGATTTTAGCAATTTAATAAATTTAATAATTTTATATTTAATAAGCTTCATAAATTTCACCAGTTTTAGCAAGGTATTCAGCATCTCAGCCTGTCAAAACAAACCGCATGTCTAGGTCAGTAAGTAACCTTTAAATCCCACAAAATGGCAACAATATATTCATTTAGTAGAGATCTCATTTCCATAACCAGTTGGCTGGGGTTCACTACAGCTTCTAATGCTGATTCATGGCAGAAGCACTTCTGTTCTTCTAGGAGTTTCCACAAATTACTTGTTCTATCTTCAGGAAACTTAGAAGTATTAAAACATACTCTTCATAGTATAAAAGTACAGCCAACTTTATGGTTTTCCTGCAACTTCCTAAAGAGCCAAACCATCACAGGACAAGATACTTCAGAGCAGTAGTTAAGGACTTTCAGTCACAAATAAAAGGGTTGGAAGGGACCTACAGCAATCAGCCAGTCCAATGCCTGACCACTTGAGGGCTGCCTAAAAGCTAAAGTGTGTTATTAAGGGCACTGTCCCAATGGGCAGTGCCCCTAAGCACTGACAGGCCTGGGGCACTGCCCAGCTCTCAGCCTGTTCAGTGTCGGACCAACCTCCCGGTAAAGAGATGCTTCCTTGTGTCAGGGAGCCCTGGTGCAATTAAATGACACTTTATACAGCACATAAGCACTCTGGCAACACCACTAAGTTCGTAAACAACCTCTAAGTCACCTTCTAAATGCAGAAATGAAGAAAAAGAAAAACAAACAACCAAAACACCCAATCTACATAGCCTCTTTTTAGTGTGGTAGTTTCACTATCCATCCATGCAATCCTCAAGGATGTTTTCATATAGATGGAAACAAAAGCAAATCAACAAATCTATAGTTATTATTAATCTCAGCTGTCCTCTTCAAAACTTTCATTTGAGTATCTTTATACAATACCTGAGTCTTCCATTTTTAGCACACTGCATAAAAGCAAGTTAGCATTGCTTAAATTCAATTTCTTGTAAATAAAGTCAGATACCTCTAAGTCACGTTTACTGACCCATGGACCACAAGCATTAGGATGAACCATGAAGTCTAACAACTTAATGATCTATTTCACATTTTAAGAAATTTTGCACAGCCTTTCATAATATATTCCACCTGCTTCTCCCCACTTTAACCTGTTTTCCTGTCTTTTGCAGAATACTGAGGAGTAAGAAAGAGTGATTTAGACACACATAGAAGAATGCTTTCTTCTACAATATATTAAACTTGTAATACAGTTTATTTTCAATTATTTCCTATTTATAAGTTTGCACAAACATACAAAACAACCATCAGATTAGTCTGTGTATACCAACCTCTGTTCCAATGCCAGGCTGAACACCAGAATATACAGTATCTGGAGGAGGGCCTCCATAGGGATGCAGTTTTCTGCTTTGTAAAACAAAGATAAAAGCCAGTTTTAACCAAAAAAAAAAAAAAAAAAAAAAAAAAAAGTCAGACTAGTTACAGAGGAGAGGGCTGTGGGTTAAAATATACAGAATAAAAAATGCATTCCAAGTTAAGCATTTATCTGCTCCTTGCCACACTTGATAACAAGGTATATATGGAGCCAGAACCTACAAAAACACCTGTTATTTTGTGGGTTTAAAAAAAAAATCATAAACGACAACATTTGTTTTATACTACGAGGTCACTGGAAAGAATTTGTTTGTCTTTTCCCTTATTTTCCATTTTATATGTAGCAACCCAAGAACTCCAGAACACCAGGTAATTCTTGTTGCCCACTCTGTACTCAGGTCACAGCAAAACAGAAGACTTTCCTAATATACTAATACCTTGTTCTTGTTGAAATGGTCAACCAGTCTCAATGTACTGCATGTGTGTAAAAGCTTTCATATAAAAGGACAACTAAAACGATTCTTAAGTAGATATCGATATTTTGGCAATTGTGTGATCAGAAAGACCTGCACTTCCCAAGAAGCACTCTCTCTAGAATTTCTTATCATACATACATTTCTTCAAAGTCAAGTGTCAATATACTTATCCAGGTGGTATTGATGCTTTCTGAGTACATCCAAAATTTCTCCAGTCTGTGTACAGATAATATTTATCAGGCAGTACAGAACTAGTATCTTCTAAGTGTTACCTTAATCTTTGCTTCATCTGGTCCCTTCGTTGATTCCTGTACTTTGCTGCCTTGTTTCTCTCTTTGCCTGTAGGTCTTCATAACTCCACATAAAAATGCACTTTTGTTCTGTAGATACAATTTACAAAACAATTCAATAGTGTGTATGACAAGCCCTGGGAATCCAGTGAGTCTTATACTCCATACCATGAGGTCACTATTTCAAGCCAATGCAATAAATCTAACGTCAAAAGAATCCTTTAGGAAAATCCAACAATTAATTGAATAAACTTGTCAGATTGAAAAAGTCTTCATTTTAACCCATTTTCTCAATTGCACACTCATTTTTATTATCTGGGAGCTTTTGCTTTGCGCTCAAATACCTACACATTTAAGGCACTTTTTAAACACACTTGGGATTTGGGTTTGCAATATAAGAATACAGCAACATCAATGAATTTCTAAATTACAACTCTCCTGCCAGTAGTGCCAGAACACTATTTATACTTATGTGCTCACACTCCTGGAGCTCTCACCTTACCTGTACATGCGACAGGTCACTTTCTTTAAACTGCTGTAATACAGAGAGGGCTCCTTCTTCATTAAATTCCCTAAGAGCATCAATTGCTCTTTCATCAAGATCGACATAAGCTACCAACCCTAAAAGTTAAAGATAAAGAAGTTACAGATTTCTATTGAATTTCATACAAACTAAGATCTATGCAGTTTGCTTTTAAAGTCAAAAAGTTACATTCCATAGCAACAGTTATACATTTAATTACATATTCCTACAAAAGTATATGAAAGAACATGAGTACAACAATGAAAAAAAGTTAAATTAAAATGTATATACCTAAACACTAGTTGATGTGCAAGATTATACCCCGTGTTAAACAGTTTTCTAACATTCAGGAATGCAATCTGCTGCATAAAGCAGTATTACATACCAGGGTCTGAAACAATGAACTTTGGCTCAATTCTAATAATTTGAATTTTGTTTATTTATCTTTCATTTTAAATTCCACACGTCCTTCTCTCGAACTGAGCTGTTCTAGAATAAGCTGAACCATCAACATTACAGGTATCCTACTGTATGGGAAAAGGGAGCTACCTAACTGATGATCAAATACTTAGGAAGCTGTACTCCACAAAATATTAGGAAGCAAAACGGTTTGTTCACTCTTTCCTCCAACGTCAAAAAAGCAGGAATCAGTGGACTCCATGTAGTGTTTGGGGGTTTTTTTAACTCATTTTGTTGCTCTATGCAGTTCCAAGAGCCAGAATTCAAAAATTTTGAGCCCTGCTATGTACCCAAAAAGGCTAATGTTAATTTTACAGGTACAGACTCCCCCAAGAAACATTGGACCAGTTCTGAAGCATGTTTTTCTTTTTAAGGATCTTTACAGGTTATTTTTTTCCTTTTGTAATGCACTTGCATAAGCTGTGGAGTGTGAGAAACAGATTTTAAGATTTGTACTTTTTAAATGATACATCCAAATTTAGGACAGATACCAAGAACTCCACACACTTTGCAACAGCTTGATCTCCCAGATACATAGATTATTTCACTGCCACTTGATTTCAAAAGTGCACAGTAGTGCCAAGCCCAAGGACTACATTTCAGAAGTGATCCTGCATATTGGAAGGCACCTGTATCTTCCATAGAAGTCCTAAACAGATTAAAAATCCCTAAATTCAATCCCAAATTTGGCTTGTGTGTCAAAAGTAGTTTGCTTCACTGACAAACCTCTGCACAATACAAACATCTTCCATGCCATTAACGAAGTGTGAATAAATATTTTCAGGTTACTCATGCAGTGGAATTATACTTGCTAGTCAGGTTCTGGGCTAAAAAGCTTTTAAATTCCTTAAGAACTCCTCACCACACAACCTAACTGCAACACATGTTAGAGCCCCACAAGTTCCTTTGCCCAGGCATTTACACCTTCTCTCAGACCATCAAGTGCATCTCATTCTGACCCACAGTTGGAAAGTGCATCTCTAAAGCCAATAAAAGCTGGTAAAGGCTTGATGAAAGCTCACTGTGAATGACTTCCAAAAGACATCACCCACGTGAGCCAGAGTATCACACTGAGGATTGATAAGGTATTGGTTTTGAACTGCCTTCATTTAATCAGTGGAATTTTAACTCTTTTCAACAAAAACTGACATCTTGCCACCAAGGCATTCAAGATAAGCACATAGAGCAGTTCTACTGCTTCTTGTAAATCTGTTCACAGAACACACTCTAAAGAGGAAAAGAAAACCTCTGTTATAGGACAAAATAATAGGGTGGTTATAAAAACAAAATAGAAAAACCTCTGTATATAAAGAAACCTCTCTAGAAGTTGCAGAGACCATTTGCTACCAGCAAGGTATTACTCGACTTGCTAGATAGCTTAGTCCTCAACTTTGTTAAAAAGCAGTTAGTGTCAAGCTGAACATTTCAGTGTAATAACCAACATGGATTAAACTGTCCACTCAGAACTAGAGAGAACAAAAAATCCACAGGCAGACTCAATTCAAATGTAGTCCCAGGCAAGACAAGCTAGTTGCTTCCCTCACTAAGTCACCTATCGAGCCTTTGAGTGTTTTAGAACCACTGTGAGCAGTTGACAGTAGATAAGTAAAAGCAAAATGATGATTCAGATTGAAGAAAAAAAAGTACAGTTTAGTATGTGCAAACATACATCTTCATTTGAAAACGTCTAAGAAACTAGTGCTCTGAGTCCTAAAGCAACTAAGATATCACATACAGCTCTAAAGATCTGTCAAGTAATTAGTCAATGTCAAACCCAATTTGCCTTTAGGGAAGTCAAAGTAGCAAAACATTCAGAGCTACACAGATCAAAAACAATGAATTTTTAAACCTTAATCTATAAAAATTTGAAAATGGTATGCCCTCACTTTCATAACCAATCAGAAACAAGAAATGCATATTATACCTGTCTGAAATATTTCATCAAGTCTCTCTGCCACCTTCTGTGGGAGGCCTGCCTCTATCAGTGTCTTGTAGTGTTCTGTGTGAGTTACACTGGAAGTATCCATTGGTTCTTCCTCTTCTTTTAACTGTACCGCATTACCATTCACCTGATTAGCCATTTTATTATGCTGCTGGAAAAAATTCAGGAGCTATATTACAATAAGCCAGAAATAACTAGTTTGTAGGACAATGCATGATTTATCTAAACTAATTTGTATACATGCTGCAAATCACCTGTATCAAAAGTTTTATTTAATACTTTTTGGATGCAGCTGATCTAAGTTTCAAAAGAAAGTACAACCCTTAGTATTGTGGAAAATGTACATGGAAGAACTTACATAACTTTTTAAAAATGTACTTCATGTACATAACGATGTCTAAACTTCATCTGCTGATTGTTGTTAACTGGTTACCATAGCAGCTAGAATGTACGGGGACATGGTAATAACAACCTTCAGCAAAGACTCAGAAGAGCTAGTGCTATTCCATTTCCCATTCCTCTACTTTTAAAACAATTGTTTAAAATGTAATGAACACATAACCCTGCAGGGTAGCTTAAGACATAAAAATGTCAATACTTGTTTGCTTATTTCCACTTTCTTGGCTTGTTGCCATGTCTTCCTTCAAACCCAACATGTTGCACAAGACTACCACACGTTTTCTCACGGTGCTGTCAGAACTTGAGGATAGAAACAGAAAAATTGCACTCTAATGCACATTGTCATTTGAAGCTGCAACATAACAGTTTCCATGCTTTCAGTTTCCCTCAAATTCAAGCTCTACAAATCAGTCCAGCTACTTTTTTAATAACATATACCTTATCGGTTTAAAAGGAAGCCATGACTGTAGCATCTTCAGTTCTTATATTAAAAAGACTCTCTTTCAGAATTAACAAACTGATTCCAAATATGTGCACCGAAGAATGCACAATTATCTTCTCAGACAATTCCAGTGGGCTTTGCCCGATTCATTAAAAACAGTTTCAATTTCTCAATTAGCCAGCCAGCTGATATTTAGTGCTCTCAAATAAAAAGGCTGACAAGAGGCAATTCAACTACCCAGCAGAGAACATCAGGATGATCAGCTGTTAGGTTCAGAAATGAAACAAGCCTCAGGCTTTAAATGATAGGGCAGAAGTCGATGAGCAGAAGCAAAATGATAACCAGGTAGACAATGCAGCACGGTTGGAATGATGCAATTAACTACTGGAATACAGATATGAAGATGATTCAAGAACAGGTTTTTTAAAAAACGCTGAAGCCTCAAGCTATTTACTTTGCTACAAAACAAGTCTCAAAGCATAACCGCACCTCTAGCAGTCCCTTGTATACCCAACCCTTCCAGACTACAGCTCATGAACGTGTTGCAAGACAGCCTATGAAGATTTGGAAGCTAGAGCTAGGAAAAAAAAAAAAACAACTAATAATTTTTCTTCAGACAGTAATGATTTTACTAAAGCTGTCTTAACTCAAAGGCAAATTTTAGAGATGTAACGCAGCCTCACGTTGTTTCTGTCAGATGCCACTTCTTTTAAGCCATTAGTGAGCAAAAGAAAGGAAGTTTTCCATCGCCACATAGCATATATATATGCTCACACACATGTTCTGTTACTTGACAAAGACAAATTGCTTTCTAACCAATTCAGTTTACTTAAAAGCATCTCTGACTGTAGCCTAATTACAGAAGAAAAAAAAATGCTACCCGAAGCCTACAATAATGCTTAGCTACCCTTACAGGTATTAACTATTGAAACACTAACGAACATCAAGTTTCTATAGGTTATGAACATCACAGAAAGCAAAACTCAGCTATGTGTCTGCTTGTTAAATAGTCTCAGCATAATCTCAAATTTGAAATAGTGCAGGGCAGAGGGGGTTTAGTTACATCAAAAATGCTTTAGGTACAGCATCATTCTTAACCCCCCTTCTCAAAAGCCCACAGGCTGAGACACACGAAGAAGATATACAGAGAGGGGTATTTTTGTGTTCACCTTTTTACTGCCTTATAAGATCAGTTATTTACACATATATTGTCTTCTCTGTACACAAAAAAAAAAAAAAAAAAAAAAAAAAAAAAAAAAAAAAAAAAAAAAAAAAAAGAAAAAAAAAAAAAAAAAAAAAAAAAAAAAAAAAAAAAAAAAAAACAAAAGAACTGAGAGGCTATGGCAACAAATAAATACAGAAAAGTTATTTGAAACAATTGCAAGGACCTTCTAAACTACAGTGGCTTATGGTGATGTTCATGGACAGTTTTTTGTGAACCCAGAGTAGCTTTCAATGTCACATACCCAAAAGATTAACACTTTTCTCAGTGTTGCCTATACCTGAACAAAGGGTTGACAAGCTATTCTGTGTCCAGGCAGAAACACCTCCTCTGGAGTTCTGACAGGTGAGATTCACAGCCTACCACCAGAAGGTATCTGCCTTCACCGCAAACATACACCAGTGTGGGGAGCAACATCTAACCCCTAAGAAACAGAATACTACACAGCACTACAGCTCAAAGGCTTTTTGATAATGTCAATTAAGACTCTGCATCTTAATTCACTAGCTGTATGGTTTATTTTTGCTTAAGAATTAGTGTCCTCATAAAGAACTAAAATCAAATGTAATGCACAATCGGTTTGGGTGTTCAAATTTTAGCTATTTCCTGTCACACAAACTTAATTTAAAAGGTTTTCTTAAAGAAACTTACAGTGGAAAATTTTCAGGTCTTCAGGGTGTGAGAGTATCCAGAAGAAATATATTTCTTTTCACAGTTATAGCAACAGATTCCCTAAAGGCTTTGTAAGCTTGGCCTGGAATCTGAGATTAAACTGACTTTTCTTCCACGAATATCACCAACAAGCAAAATTACATCTCTTACAATACTAAATCTGCACTCTGAGTTCAGCAGATATATGTGGGTGAAAGTCATAGCTGAAAAAGACTGTTTAGCTCCCCCTCTAGGTAACATCAGCTAGATTTAGCTGACAAGAAAAATATTTTTAATTGTTAATATTTTTAGTTTAATTTTATCAGCAAGTAAAACTCACAATGATTTCATTAACATTTTTGTTCTCCTCTAAAAAAAAAATATTAAAAGCTCCTTAAAAAAAAAGAAGAGCGACATCTATGTTTGGATGCACAGTGTGTCCACATGACCCAGCCTATGACAGACCACACCACCAGAGCACCAGCATGTACTCGGAAGTTTTTCATCTGCATTAAGTCAGTCAAATATCCAGAAGAGAGGGAGACTGGTTGACTGGAAAAGATTTCAAGGGTGGATTAAAAGTAAAGAATTACATATATTAGTATGTGTGGGACATGTATTTGTTTTTAAAACATGCAGAAATGGATGAATTTAAAACAGTGTACACAAAACCATGCTTACCAAATGAGCAGAAGTAATACAAATTGGGGACAACTTTACATAGGCAAGGAGAATTCCCACTGGTGCCTGAGGGGTTACCTAGCTTCACCACCTCCCAACTGTGCACACGGGAAAGGGGTTTGTTTCAGCCTTCACATTCTTTTTCCAACAATGCTTTCCTGAAGACCATAAATACTTTATAAAACATGTTTTAAGCCATTCACCCAGAAGTCCTGCATCTCAAGAGAGTAATTTACAAAGTGACTAGTCCCCTTTTTAAGTCCTCATATGACAAGTAGGAAGTGTAAACTACAGGTACTTCCAGTGTTTCATAACTCACATGGCTCAAATAGTTTTTTCCTGGAAAACAAAAAAAAATGAACACAGACCTGAGCCTGACAGCATATGGCATCTTGAAAAGAGAGACCTGATCTCGGCCTCAACCTGACAATCACTGGTTAAACAGCCATGATGTTACCACTCCCTGTATCTTATACCATGCCTCTAACAGAGGTTGCCACCTACAGACTATCTAAGTATAACTCCATCCAATTAATTATAAATTCAATCTAGTTAATTCAAAACATGCTTAGTAACAGCTTAAATAAGCGGGAAAGGCAATTTCTGGCAAAAAGACAATATCTCAAACTACCATGACCAACTTCACAGTGATTATACACCAATACTGCTTTCAGCCTCCTGCTGAAAACTTTTAGTTTCACACAGGAACTGAACTTGTTTAGTTCAGGTGCACAGGAAACCAATTAATTCATACACATAAACTCTGCATCAAAGTCATTTTTCTTGCTTATGTTACTGCTCCTTCTATCCAATATACTGTGTCAAGCAGTTAAGTTATACCACATTAAATGTAACAGTGAAGGAAGTTTGGGGGACACTTGTTAGTTTTTGTTGTTTAAATTGACCACAAGAAAACAAGCATCATCCCTATAGTTATGCCTCACACTTCCAGAATGTTCTTGTCAAAACAGGAAGATAAACACGAGTGGGGGGAAGATAAGACCTCACATTTAAAGACTGGATATTTATTAAAACCTCACTCATTAACAAACATTTCTGTACACAAAGGCATGTACAAAAGGTCAGGCCTTTTATTTTGTACATGATAGCCATTTCTTTCATACTATAGCTTATTCAATCACAGTACATTTTAATAGCTTAATTATGCTTTAATAAACATTTCTTAGAATGAATTACAAGAAAACTTATTTAGTAAGTCATTGCAGGCTGAAGATCTTTATAACATTAGCCAGGTTTCCCCACTATCTGTATGCCAAAACACAGCTGGCACCCTCACCCCTCCAGTACGGAGCTCTCAGCCTTCCTCACTCCACAGCCCCATGCAATGAAAAAAATCTGAGAACCTCCAGCAAGATGCTAAGCAAGAGACCAGCATAGCCCTCACAGAAACTGAAATTCTGCTTCAATACCCACACAACTATCTCTGGGAGATGACTTTAGCACAGCAAGTTAGCAAGATGCCCATCAGTGCCATTAAAACACAACACTGATCACATCCTCCTCCTACAGAGCTCCTATGTTTTGCTAACCTGAAACATAAAATCTGTACGTGCTCATTTCTCATTGGAGTTGGCCATTCATAACTCATCTGATTGTTTGGGTTGTACTGAACAACACTTATGGCACTCCAGTTCAAAGCAACACTTAACAAAAATGAGCTTTGTTCTGAAGAATTTACCTTCAAAGAATTTTGCAGATCTCTAACTAAGAAAGCATGGAGTACTGGGGCTTTTTGACAAAACTAGGAACTTAAGTGTTAGCAGGAGGCTCAAGTATTATAGTATTATTTATTAGACAGAAAAACTGAGAGGTAAGGATATGAAGTATTCATGGGAAATACAATTTCTAGGATGCAGAATTATCAAGCAGACACTGCTCGTTTGCAACCACCACAGTTTGCATAGGTTAAAAAATCCCTACACTGTGAGATGCAGAATTCTGGTACTATTACCTTTACTTCTAGGAGTTAAAAAAAAAAAAAAAAACCAAACCGGTGTTAAAGTGTGATCTCAAAGGAAAAAACAAACAAACAAACAAAAAACCAAACCACTAGCTTCATGAGCATTAACGTCCTTTGCAGCAGGAAATGCTGGTGGGATCCTTTAGTGCCCTATACATGGGAAAGCTACCCTAACACAGCGTTTCATAAAGTAGTCCAGCATAGCTTATGTACTTAAGTAGGTAAGCACGTTCAAATACTGACAGGTAAGAAGGCTGCTAAGACCTAGTAACTAAGTCTTACTTTAAAAATAATTTTAATAACGATGCTTTTAAAGCAAAATTTTTCAAGGTTTAGTAAAGGCCTTCGGTAAAAGTTAATTTAAGAGAAACAACGTCCTAACAACAAAACTCCGGAGAATTTCTGCTTCAAGCGCTTGTCAAGTGTTATTTTCTCGATGGAAGCGCGAAGCGCAGACCCGAGCGCTGCGGGTGGTGCCGCCTGTCCCTCCCTACAGCGGCTCTATCACATCATGCGCTGTCTGAGACCAGAGGACGCCCTGCGACAGCGACGCGCTCGCTGCTGGGAGCGTTGCTGGGTCCCCGCGGGCCGGGCACAGCCCGGAGGGCCCGCGCAGAGCCCGGATCCGCAGCCCCGCAGAGGCCCGTCCCGGCCACTCGTCACATGCATCCCTGACCCCCACGGCGGGGCGGGGCGGAGCGGGCCGCCCCCCCCGGCCCGCCCCCGGCCCCTCCCCGGCGCAGCTCCCCCTCCCGCGCCCGCGCCCGGCCCGCGGAGCGGCCCCTCCGCGGCCTCCGCCCCGCTCCGCTCTGCCGCGCCAGCGCCCCGGGCCCACACCCGCCCGCGCTAGGCCTGTCCGCGGCCCGCGCCGCCCGCCCCGCCGCGGGGCCCGCGCGGGAGGGTCCAGCCCGGCCGCGGAGCGCCCCTGCCCCGCGGAACGGCTCCGGCACTCACCGGAGCGGGGCCGGCGCGGCGCAGCTCGGGCCCAAGCAGCGACGGCAAATGGCGCGCGCTCCTCCTTCTCCTCATGGACGGCGGCGCGACCCCGGCAGCACGCGGGGTTTCCCGGAACTGTTTCCAGGGACCGCCGTCTCGCCCACTAAGGAGCCCGCTTTCCGGACGGGCAGGCGGCGGCGCCAATGGGACATGGGAGGCGGGACGCGCCCGTCTTCCCACCGGCCAATGAGAAAGCAGCGCCGTAACCAATCGCGCGGCGCCTTCCCCCGGCGCGCCGGCAGGGCCGGGCGGGGGCATTTAAAGGGGCAACGCCGCCCGCGGCCCGAACAAAGGGAGAGAGCGGGGCCGCCCCCTCCCCCCCGCGCGCCCGGGGGCGGGGCCTCCTCTGAGGGGGCGGGGCGGGGTCGGCCCCGGGCGGAGGGGCTGCGGCCGGGCCGGGACCCCCGGCGGGACCCCCGGCCCTCACCCTCACCCGCGAGGCTCTCCCGCTGTCCGAGCCCTGCCCCCTGGGAGCCCCCTGGGCCACGTTGCCCTCCAGGCCCGAAGCAAGGAGGGGAAGCTGTGTGGCACTGTCCCTTCTCAGGACAGTGGCGTGAGGGGCTCTGCGCCTGCTAATCTGTAATTAATCGGTGATTAACTTGCCTGCTCACCAGATTTGCTTGATGAGTGCAGAGTCGACACAATAACTACATAAATTTGGAGGAAAATCAGTGCGTTGGCACCGTTTGTGTGGCACTGGCTTCGTGCGCTTGTGCTGTTGCATAACCTGGAAGTCGAGGTGTGCTGGGCTGGGCCAGGCAGAGCCCAGGGTGCTGTGTTGAAGTGAACCCAGAGAACCTGCACATGAACTGTCCCTCTGGAGCCTGGTAAAGAAAGAAGTGCAGCAGCTGTCATACTCTCAGGGAAGGTCCTTCCAGGACTTTCACCACAAAATTACTCTCCTGAAGACAGCATGTAGGTGTGTGTTGTATCAAGTATGTGTGATAGCCCATTACTGGGGGAAAAGTGTGTTGTCCAGTGTTTCCAATCCAGAAATTGGAGGCAGGCTTGTGCAGATGCTGGAAGTGTTCAGTCTGTCTTGCTGAACCTGTCCAGCGGCGGACATGCTGCTTCTCCTGTGGAATTGGCACTGCCTTGGTGACTTCCCTCTCCAGACTCAGCAGTAGAGCCAGCTTTTCAGTGCTGGATGTAGGGACTGCTGTGGTATAGAGAGGGAAGGAGATGTAATCATTCATTGCCTTGTCCCAGTTCACTGCAGCAGTTTATTTTACTGGGAGGTAAGAATGGTAGGTTTAAGGAGTTCTTGCAACACAAATACTAAGATTGAGGGAGTAGTGGTGCTTAATAAATGTCCTGCAAAGCTCTTAAATACTTTGTAATATAGTATCCAGGAGTGAATTATGGAGTATAATGACACAAAGCTACACAACATCTGATTTAGTCCTGTGCCAAGGCAGTAAAAAACCATCTTGGAACCAAGGAGAGCGTTAATCTTGGCAGAGAGCTGGCACGTATTGGTCTGGCAGGGCAGGACAGTCCCACTGCCCCTGGACGTGCAGGGGGTGGTGGTGTACCTTCAGTGGGGAGGCTGGAGTCTTGCATGGGAGAAAGGTGAGTGAAGCCCTGAGGGGACAGAGCAAAGGAAGTGAAGGGATCCAGCTTTTCCACGGCCCTATATATTTACCCTGCAACCTGTTGACATTTCCTGTGTTCAATGGCCAGAGGTTTTTTGCTGAGGCTCAGCCTGTTCCCGTCAGTCTGTCACTCCTCTTCTGTGATTGCACTGAAATTCCATTGTTTCCACATCAGTGGCAAGATGACAGAGTTGAATCTGCTGTAGTTTGTATGTAAGCTGTTAACATATATATGGATTATGACATTTCCTGATGCTTTAGACTTTTTATCCTAACCAATTATCAGTGCAGCTGTTATGGATAACACGTCACAGATGTGCCTGCCTCCAACAAATATCTTGTTCTCTAGTGCTCTGCTGCTATGCAGCTCTTATGTGTTTGCTGCAGACCAGACTTCCAGGAAGAGGAGGTCTGTCTTAAAAATCTTCAGGCTTTACTTACCAGTGAGGAACTTTGAGTGCCCCTGGTGTGTTCCATCACCTCTACAGCAGGGAAATGCTCGGAAAATTTCTTCCTACAGAGGCCATGCTGCTGTCATTACCCTGGGCACATATGTTTATTTTGCCTTGCACACAGCCAGTGTATTTAATTTTGGGAAAAACATACACATATACTTTGTCTTTCTCCCACTTGTCTGCTCTTGAGTGGGGAGAACAAGTGTGTCAAAAAGGCCCAAAGAGACCAGACTGGGCAACCTGGCTACCTTGCACTAAAACCAGCTTGCTAAAGATCTTGGATCTCACTTGCCTCTCTTTTCACTTCTTTCCCCACCCGAGCCAAGGATTCTTGGCAATTTCTGTCACATTTGTGTAGGATGCAGCACAAAACGAGCACCTTGGGAAGCAGCTTCTGTTTGCTGCAGCAAAAATCACCAGCTCAGTTTTAGCTGAAAACAAAGTTCACTTTTCCTGCTTCTGCAGTGGCCAAGCAGTTTTGGGCCATGATCTGTAGAAGCATAGAAAGGACAGAGGATCTGGGGGTAAGGAAGGATAAACATCTCATTGAGATATAAAGGCTGCTCCAAGAAGAGAAATTCTTCATGGAACTGCGTTGTAAGTGGCTGTGGGGAGTCAGGGTGTTGTGAACAGGGGTCAGTCCAACCCTGAGGAACAAGTGAATAACCAGGATGCACCGGTTCTGACAGGGAAAAGAATCCCTTCCTTTGTGTCTTCGGTTCAGAGGGGGAGCCAATCATGCCATCAGCCATTCCAGAGCAATTGAGGAAACCCAGAACAATAAGCTCCTCTATGGCCTGTTGTCTGAGTTCAGCACTGTTCTTGCAGCCTTACCAGTTTCAAACATCAGCTTTGGGTTTTGGTTGCTCTGAATCAGAATTGCTTGGAAGTAGCTGGCAGTTTGTAGCCACTGATTGCCAAAAGACAACTGAGCCCTGTCCTCCAGGTCACACTGGACTGAGGGAGAGTCCTGGGAAGGTCTACAGACAGCTTTTACCTTCTTAACCCCCCAGCAATCACCTAGGTCCAAGATGTAGTCTTGGTTTACTCCCCAGCATTCCTGCTCTGGAGTCCTGCAGCAAACTGTCTGTAGCAGGACCTGGCATCTCTCCATCCACTGGCCCTGGAAGTGGTGGCTGAACCCAGACAAACTGCTTGCAAATGCTCCTGTCATTTGTCAGGAGCCCAATGCTATTGCAGTGATCTCCAGAACACCAAACCTTTTTTGGCGAAATGCCCGTCAGACTAAATGCATCTCAAATAATTTTTTGCCACCCTGTAGTTGAAATACTTCTGCTAAGAGGACTGTCTGTAACTCAGACTTGGACATCTTTCATCTCATGTTTTTAATCATAAGCACTGTCAAAGGAGCTGCAGAAAAAACACGTTCCAAGCCTGTAAGCTGATGCTATTGACATATTGCATTGCACTTGGGAGAAAACCCTTAGCCATGCACCCTAGACCCAGTACACTCACCTGTGCTGGTTAACTGCTGCGTCACAGGAATCAGGATGTCATTTGGTAACTTATTGCAGAGACAGTTTGAAGTTCAATAGAAGTAAGAAAACCACTTCTGAAGAGATGCACTGATGATGAAACTACACAAAACAAGATGATTTAACATCTCCCTTGCCCAAAGGCAGAGGTCCCTTTTGAACATTTACTTCAAACCACCTTTTAGTGATCAGACACTATATCAATTCATGCTTCTTACTAACCTCGGGGAACAGGAAAAGACATTTCTGTAACTGAGGTTTTAGAGAGCACCAGAACCAGCACAAGAAAAGGGTCGAGGTGACCAGGGGTGCTGGGAACTCTGGTAGGAACTCAGTTCCTCACAGAATTGCAGCTGGTCAGCATAAGAGGTGGAGTGGGTAAAGTGCTTGTCATCTCTAGAGACAAGTTCAGGAGAGGGGTCTTTTACTAGGCAGAGATATTTACACCACCAAGGAAATAAAGCAGTGCCTGTTAACTAGGAATGGCCAGTGTCACTGGCATTAAACTAAAGCAAACTGGTTTCAGGGAGGTTTGGGACTCCCTGGAAGAGGAGGTCAGTGGGTGGATCACAGTAAAGAAACCTCAACCCAAGGATGAATTGAACACACTACCTGATGTACTAAGATTCATAGCCAGGTGGGATTCCTAGTGGCGAGATGGCTGCAAAGTCAGTTATCATGCCACCTGGATAAAAATAGAGACCTTTCTAGTTTAGCAAAAGGCCTGTCAAGAGATGGGAGAAGACACCATACCCTCCTCAGTACTTCTCGCACTTGCTTGGTGGTGATTTGAGCATTTTTGGACTCCAGAAGCCATTCACCTTGCTAGCCTGGGTGAATTCATTGGGCTTAGAACAATGGGCTGGTGAGATAAGAGGCTGAGTGACTCCCACAACACGCCCAAGACAGTGAAAAGGAGGAGAAGAAGGGGGAGCAGGAAGGAGACTCTGCTTTAAGCAGCAGCATGGTTTATCCATTCATCCTCTCCAGCAGCCAGTCTGTGGGCACAGCTGAGTGATCACCGACTGCCAGGCAGACCATTGCTGAAAGGGGCTTCTCTCCCAGCCCACTTGCTGTGTCAGATCTGCAGCTGCCCGTCCCTTTGTGTTCTTCCACTGCCATAACCTGGTAGGAGTTCAGGGTTGCTGTAGAGGAGTCAGCCAGGTGTTCCTCTCCAGAAAATGCCGTGGGCTGATGAACTGGTGGTAAGGGTCCCAGCACAGCTACCAGTGTAGAAGCCCCTTTGAAACTGGTGCAAAGTTAAAACACGATACCCGATTCAGAGAGTGCTGCTGGGCAAAAAAGCTCTGCAGTGTAGCAAGGTACACACCTGCACATCTAAGTTCTGGGGAACTTCAGAGGGTTTGTAACACCTCTCTCTGTGGCACCATACATCACAGAGGTCCAAATCACAGCACTCCCAGTCTCACAGCAAATCCCCTCCCTTACAGGCGCTTGGGCAGAGGCTCTGTGGCTGAGCTTACGGCATAGTTAGTGCAAAAAATGCCGAGTAAATCACAGAGCCGTGAATTTAAACCCTCAGAATTTAAACCGTTCCTTCAGAATATAGAGTTGTCCTAATATTTATTTCAGCTCTTCCACAGTCCACTGTAGCTGTGATGCCAAGAAATCAGTCTTCAGTGATGACATCTCACTAGTGACTCTGCAGCTTCTGGGGAAAGCCAACCCCAGCTGACAGATACAACAGGAAAAGCGTTCTGAAATGGATAAAAAAATCAGATTTTTAAATGGGTATAACCTAAACGGGTCAATATTGCTTTTCATGACTTAGTTCTTCCCCCGAGGTTCAGGGAGGTGGGGAAGGGGGAGTTACTAATAGTTTTGTAATTAGCCCCATCTAAAAAGGGACCAAGCCTGCAGTGAAGCTCTGTACACAACCTCAGCACAACTCACCACAGCATCTCCCGCAGACTGAGCACAGCCAGGCAAGGATACTCCACAGTAAGTACAGCCTCTCTTCCAGGGCTGATCACATGGGTGACATCTTCATTGAAGAACGTTTTTTAAGGGCATTAGAGTGACAGTGGTGTCTAATTTACTCTGCAGACAAGACATGCCACTACCTGCAGTGTTCCTCAGGTGAGAGCAGTCCAAGGGGAGCAGCTGGCTGGGGGTGTACCAGGTAACACAGGAGAAACTGGGACACCTTCAGCCAGCCAGTCACACCCTTGTCAAACCACTTTCTACATCAAAGGTATCATTTGCCTCCTGCACTTTCAGACAGGGCAGTTCCAGGCACGTACCCACCCAGTTCAGCGTCGTTGCTACCCTTCACCAACTGTAACGCAGCCTGGCATTCACCAGTGCTACAAACCAAGCCAGTTCAGGCAGATTTATGGACACAGTGGAAGTGTAGAAGGCAAGGCTGTTTTCTTTCCTGTCCATTCTTATTACATAAAAAAATCCCCCTCTTGTCAGGGCTTAGTGGAATAAGACCAGAGTATTTCAAGGCACTCACTGTGTTTTATGATGAATTTCTTACACTAAAATTGCAAAAGTGATTGAAATAGCATAAAATTAGTCTTAATCCATCCTTCTTTGGAAAGTGACTTAGCTAAGGAACAGAGAACTAGAGACAATAAAAAAAAAACCCACTGGGCAATTAAAGTCATTGTGGAAAAGAACATTCATGTCCAAGTCAGGATCTTGGCTGTCTTGCTCCAGGAACTAGCACCATCACACATGACATCAGCATAACTCTAAAGTTATCTCACTAGGTACAAATGGTCATTTCTTTCAAATAAATCTAAAGAAAGTAGTTAAGTTCTGTACAGGCCTGTCTACTCAGGAGTACATCCTTATTTTGGAAGAACAATGAAGCTTAAAACCAGACAGTGGGGTTGGTTGTTTTTGTTTTCATTAAACAGTTACTGAGCAGGAAAGTGAGACTGAGTAGTTTATTTGACAATGTTGCAGACCACAGTATAATTGGATGGGTTTAGATTATGCGGATCAAAATATACAGTCTCCAACGCTGTTTTTACACCACATTCAGTATTGGCCATGCACATTCAACAACAGCACCAGCTTAGTCATCTTTAAGCTGCTTGATCTTATGCTTATGGGGCTCAATTTCTTTTTTGCAGCTGCTCAATCTCTTTCTGGTGGTGATGGATCTCTTCCTCGTGGTGTTTCCGTAAAGCAGAGAGCTGCTCTCGCTCCTTCTCCCTGCAAGAGAGGACGGCCCGAGGTGCAGCCCCGCAGCCGGGCCGTGCCCGGGCTGAGGGAGTGGCCCCGCAGGCCCCGGCCTCGCTCACCTGAAGTACCGCTCCTCCTCAGCCGCCTGCTTCTTCCCGAACGCGCCGCCGGCCTCGCGGATGGAGCCGCCGCCGCCGCCGCCCTTCCCGGCGCCTTTACCCAGCTCGCCGAGCTGTAGGAGGGACGGCGGTGAGTGCGGGGTGCAGACGGACAAAGGGACGGAGGGACACCCCCGGGACACCCCCGGGACACCCCCGCCCGCCGCGCCCCCGCGCCCACCTGGTCGGCGCCCGAGCTCGAGCTCCAGCGCTGCTGCTGCGCCAGCAGAGCCCCGCGCAGGCCGAGCCCGCCCCGCGCCGCCGCCACGGCCGCCATGGCCGCGTGCCCTTGGAGCGCCCGCCCCGCCCCGCCCCGCGCCGCGCCTGCGCAGCCGCGCCCGCGCGCGGGGCCCGGCGGGAGCAGGACGGCGGGGGGCGGGGCCGTGAGACGTCACAGGCGGGGCCCTCCCGCGCGCCCCGCGGGGGTGGTGTCTGTTGGCGCGGTCACGTGGCGCGACGGCGTGGTCACGTGGTGCGGCGGCCATGGCGGCGGCGGGGCCCGGCGCGGGCGCGGCCGAGGACGCGTTCCTGACCTTCTACAATGAGGTACCGCCCGCGCCGGGCCCCGCTGCCCCCGCTCTGCCCGGCCCCGCCGCCTCCCCCCGCAGCGCCGGGGCCCGCGGGCCGCGCGGGACCGCGCTGTGCCAGGCCCGGGGGCCGCCGATAGGCGGGCCGGGCGGAGCCGCTGTGGGCGCTGGGCGGGGGGCGGGCGAGCGGCGGGGGCGGGGGGTCCGTCCTGTCTGTGCTCGACCCGGCCCTCTGGCAGCCCCGGCGCTGCCCGGGGAGGCCCCGCGCTCGGCTCGCTGGAGGCTGTACCGCCCGGCCCTGAGCGCGGCACCCCGTGCCCGGGTGTGGGAACCTGTCCCCGGGGCCCCTTCCCTGTGCCGGGACTTGGGGCGTAGCCTGGGTATTTTACCTGAGCTGCCCGCACAGAGGCCGTGCTGGTTCGGCAGATCCGTATATCTGTAAATAAAACTGAACATTAAATATAAACACGTGGCTTGGTTTTGGCGTAGTACTATGAAGAGCAAAAAGTAAACTGAACTGAACTAAATAACCTGTGGTCAGAGTGAAGTGGATTTGTGTACTTGCATCGGTATCACTTCATGTGTTTAAAGGGCTGTACTGCCAGCAGCGGGTTACAAGCAATAGCGCGGTGTTTTCAAAGGAATCACAGCGACAGGGCTGCTGGAAGAGCAAGGGGAAGGGAAGAGGCACAGCTGTAGAGCAAGCTGAAGGATAGACGGGCAGAAGTGCTCTGCAGGGTTTTTTATGGTTAAAATGTAACATTAAAAATACTGTTGTGCTATATAAAAGGCTCAGTGATATGCTTTGCTACAGCTTCGGTAAAATAACCACAAGCTTGAGGCGAGCAAGAAGTATAGTGAATTGTAGTAGGGGACCAGTGTAACTGGTGTAGTAATCGCGGGGAAAAACAGGTAAGGATGTTGTGATGGTCAGTTAATGCAGGTCTCTCTTGTTCTTCAGGTAAAGCAAATTGAAAAACGAGACTCTGTTTTAACATCAAAAAACCAAATTGACAGGCTGACCCGACCCGGATCTTCCTATTTCAACTTGAACCCTTTTGAGGTTAGTTTGAACATTTTGTCCTCCCTTCTGACTTAGTCTACCAACTTCTCGATTTCCTGAGTATTTTATTGCAGTAAAAGACTGAACATAAAGAACCCAAAATCTCTAGGTACAGGTTACTGTGCAAAAGTTGTGCAGAAGCAGAAGGATGGTATCTGTGTGCACGCTTTCTTTCTCACTGATGGCGGTGCAAACTATGTTCTTTTGTCACATTTCCCTCATGCAACATCACTGGAAGATTTGGCAGATCAGTGCTGGGTACTTTCTGAACAGAAAAGTAACAGCTGGAGGTGGCAGCTTGGCAAGTTCTGGTCAGAGCTTTCTTAATTCAGCATTTCTAGTTCTGTGTTTTATTTTGTGTGTTCATCCCACTGAACTTGTGTAGCCTGAAGAACACAGTAAATAATTATTGTGGTATTCAGCTGGAGCTGGCTTTCCCTGTGTGTATTCCTTCTTGATATCATCTTCTCTGCCTTTTTAAAGCCCCAAGTGCTTTTTGTAGACCCAGTTCAGGGCTAGAAGACCCAGTTCAGGTCTTTTTGTAGACCCAGATCAGTTGGCAGGTTCACTCTGACAACATTCAGTTTTGTGTAGATCTTAGATCTTTGACTTGGAGAGTAAATTAAGAAAGCCATTTGGGAGTAGACTGTAGCTTTCCTGTGGGAGAGTATTTTTTATTTACAGACTACCGTGAATCTGCTCACTTGTTGCTTAGATCTTCTTTTCAGTAAATTAATTCACAGAAGAGCTCCTAAACTTTGCCACATCCATAAAGATCAGTAGACAAGTGGTCTCATTCATGGAAACTAAACAGTAAAACTCTACTGTCTTCTTTTAAAATGATAAAATGAATAAATTCTTACAAATGGTGGTTTCCTGCCCAGAGTTCTCAGTTATGAATGACCTGACAGTGTTCCAAAGCCCCCATATGCTTCTGTTTCTGCCAGACTGAACACTGCTACAGGACTGGTTGAAGGTTCAGACCAAGTTATGGATGGCAGCTGTCTACACAAGGCTTGAGTGTAGAAAGGGCACTGGCATAGTCAGAGGAATCTAGCATTAGCAGAAGTAGAGTGTCACAAAGATGATGACTACTAAAATGTTTTTGTTTTACTGGGTGAAAATTCATATTGTGATGGAGGAAGCTTTCTGACGTGTGTCTGTGTGCCAGTGAACCAAGTGTTACAGAATGTGCTGAGCTGGAAGGGACCCATCAGGATCACTGAGTCCAACTTCTGGTCCTGAAAAGGACACCCCAACAATCCCACCCTGTCCCTGAGAGCATTGTCCAAACACTTCTTGAACTCAGGCTTGATGCTGTGACCGCTGCCCAGGGGAGTCTGTCCCAGTGTTCAGCCACCCTCTAGGTGGAAAACCTTCTCCTGATGTCCAACCTAAACCTCCCCTGACTCAGTTTCATGTTGTTTCTTTGAGTCCCATCACTGGTCACGAGAGTGAAGAGATCAGTACCTGCCCCTCGTGTGGATGTTAAAGACCCCAATGAAGTCTGACCTCAGTCTCCTCCAGGCTGAACAAACCAAGTGGTTTCAGCCGCTCCTCATAAGAGTGTTAGAACTTACTGCCAGAAACCTGATTCATGGAGAGTAGCATCAAACTTCCTTTGCTCTCATGGTGTCTTTTAGGTGCTGCAGATGGATCCTGAAGCCACAGATGAAGAGATAAAGAAAAGATTCCGACAGGTATTTGGCTTTTGCACTTGAAGTCCCTGGAAGGAAACTAGAAGTTCTTTTGAGATTGTGGAGCTGGGCTTGGGCTCAAGAAAAATGGTGATAAAGCTGTTCTTGGGTAGAGGAGTGGCCATTTTTGACAGAAATGCATAGAACAATGCTTGTATCAACAAGAGGAGAGCTGCAGGAGTGTCCCTGGTCCATGCATGATTGGCTGCTTTGCCTGTGCAGTGTGTCAGGGGGCTGTTGCAAACTGATATACCCATGTATTATCAGCTTATTGAACTGGACTTCAAGGAGAAGATGAAAACTCATCAGAAATCTGAAAAAAGGTATTTTTCTCTATAATATGGACTTGAATCCAGAAGTGTATTTTCTCTGATGTTTCTTTAAGAATTTCAGTGGGCATTTTTGGTGGCTTGGTTACTGGGAACAGCAGCAGTCCTCCTCACTGACCTGTCTGTAACAAAGGAAACATTACCCCAGCTTCCCTCTGCTGACAAACCTGCAGGAAAAATTTGAGTTTAATCAGCACATGCAGCAAAGAAAGGGTATTTGTAGGGCCGTGGCCTCCACCTGAATTAATGCTGTGAGTGCTGGCTGGCAGAGGAATGTGCCTGCCAAATTGGTGATGGGATATGGGCTCCTCCTGTAGATGGGAGGTGGAAGGATAAACTTTTGATCTGTATCTGGCTTCTCGGCTCTGTGAGACAATAAACTGGGGCTGTCTCAGCTTTGAGCTGGTAAAATACTACAGGGAGATGTTTTGCAGTCAAGGTGATGAAGTGAAAAATACAGTATGTGGAACAGCCAACAGAGGGGAAAGAAGACAAGTAAATCTGTTCAGGACTGAAGGCAAACTTTTTCCCTGGGAACTAGAAAGTGGCAGCTGTAGAGTAGTTATTTTGCATTCTTTGGCACTAATGCAGTTTCAGTTGCTGATCTGTACAGCAATAGCAAAAATAAGAGATTTAGAAAAAATAGCTATATGGGGAAAGTTTGAAAGAACTTTGTCTGGAAAAGGAATGTGGAGGAGGACATGTGCTTTCCAGCACAGTTAAAGTTGCCCTAAGGATGGTAGTGATCCATGTCCTGTCTCTGCCAAAGCACAGGAAGAAATTTTCTTAACTTTTAGTAAAGTAGCCTAACGAAAAACTTTACCACTCTGAATAGTTTGGTGTTTGGACAACCTTAGGGATACTGGAGAACTTCTTGGGAGAATTTGGTTAAGGATGATCTTTGTGGATTTGGTTTTTGTCAAGACCAAGGATATAAAACTTGTGTGACCAAGGGGTTCATATCAGCCCGGGCACTGCAGCTGAGGACTGTTTAGATTTTTCCACACTTCCCAAACTGCAGCTTTTCTCGGATAGCCTGTTTGTTAGACGGATTGTTTGATTTATCAGTGTGTACTGGCACATACTTCTGCATGAGTTGTCCGTGTACAAAGTAATGTGACCCCTTGGGATTCTTTCTGTCTGAGACTATTTCACTCCTCTCAAAAATCTCTGAGATACTCTTCATCTTTTACAATGATCTTGATAGCAAAATCCTTTCTCTTGCAGCTGTCAATACTGGTGCATCCAGACAAAAACCAAGACGATGCAGATAGAGCCCAGAAGGCATTTGAAGGTAACACTCGCCCTTTCTCTGTGTTGCTCTGGTTTAGTAGTTAATGCTGCTTTTCTGGTGCTGGTTTAAATGTTCGTTGGGGTGGAGGGGACAAAGGTTGCTGCAGAGGTGCTTTAGCAGGGATAGAAGCAGCTGTGGGAGCAGCAGCTGTGTGGGGTGGTGACATTTCAGCAAGTGGCACTAGGTGGCAACAGTGGCATTGTCATGTCACAACGGGGACAGACACCTCTGTGGGGTTTTGGGATTGTTCAAGAAAAGCTGTTTGATCTGTGCATTAGATTGTATTCAATGACCATACGACAGAAGTAATGTGATGGTTTGAGATGTATGCTTTGCATCACAGTGAGGTGTTCTGCACCTTAAACTCACCTTATGCCCTATAACTACAGCTGGTAGGACTGATACTTTCACCTGCTGCCTCCAGAAGATATGGGATAGTTCCTACCATTACTATACCCTAAAACTCATTTAACTAATCATGTTATCACTTACCTAGATGTATTTAATACAAAAAAACCCTGCCAAACAAATGACACCCACAAATTCTAGAAGCCAGATTTTTAATGCCAACAAGTAGCATTCTTGTGATGCCTTGTGAACGTGACTGGTGCTATTAACGTTGCTCCTTTTTGTTAGCTGTAGATAAAGCGTACAAGCTGCTGCTAGATCAGGAGCAAAAGAAGAGAGCCTTGGATGTGATACAGGCAGGAAAAGAATATGTGGAACACACTGTAAGTATGGGAACATCTAGGGATGGGGGTGAGTGGTAATCAATCAAATCAATCAATCAAACCTTGTAATGGAGCTGTGCAGGTGGGCTCCAAGCTCTTCACAGCAGGAACAAATCTGCTGTGTGCAGGACTGCTGTTGAGCTCAGTGCTAGATAATTCAGTGAAATTCAGTACTTGAAATAATTAGGTCAGATCACATGATCTGACCTAAATATTTTTTTCCAAGTCTATGAATGAATGATGCAGTTCAGTTGTGTGTAGATAGAAGAGAATAGGTGGTGACAGCAGGAGACTGGGAAGTTTGGAGGATATTGACCTATAAGAAAAGGAGCTTGGATTGCACTGGCCAAGAAGTTAGTTGAGTGATGTGGGTGGGCTAAAACACGATAAGCTTGAGGAAGCAGATGATATGGGAGAACTCAGATACTCTTAACACAAGGGACACTTGATGTTCTGCTTGTTATTTTAGTCACTTGAATATCAAATAGCAAAATAAATTTCCTGCTGGTTTGGATGGTGTATATTTGATAAGAATATATCTGTTAAAAATACCCAGAAGGGATTGTATTGAAGGAATAGCATCCAACATAATACTTTTAATTACTACAGTTTGTGTGATAGTGATCTTGTAAGTGTTTATCTGGGCCTAGAACAGTTTGGTCTGAAATAAAAAAATCAGTGTGATGAAGAACGGACTTCTTCCTACGTGTTGGAGTAGGAATACAGAACTACTTGGATACAATTGTGTTAGGCCTATAAGACTTCTAAGGTTCTTATTTTTGTTCCCAATCTTTAGGTGAAAGAAAAAAAGAAACAGTTGAAGAAGGATGGAAAACCTCCCACTGTAGAGGAAGATGATCCTGAAGTTGTAAGTCGTACACTGTTCAGAGAAACTGGGGAGTACAAAGCATGTTTTGAGGAATTAAGATTCAAAACCAGTGAAGAAGTATTTATTAGACTTGTTAATGTTGTAAATCCGTACAGTTACAGAAGAGCAAATTCTACTTAGCCTCTGTAGAGTACCATGTGTCAGGTGATACCCCTGTGCTTTGGAAAATAGTTTAACTGTAGTGTAAAGAGTAAATATATCAGATTATATGGACCAAAATACCCTCTTATTTTCTTGGAGCAATTCTTCATTGCTTGTGCATCATGCAGTCTTTTTTGAATTTAATTTCTTGTTGTCTTCTGACTGCTGGAACTGTGGCATTCCTGCTGCCCGCAGAGGCGTGTGTAGGACCCACTGCAGTGTGGCTAAAATGAGCTCTGGGAGTTTTTTGGGTGAGAGCTGTTCTGGCTGTTTCTTCCATATAGCACTGGAGGACAGATGTGCTGTTCTGCAACAAATCACCTGTATTAAAAAAGGCATGGCATAATTTAGTTCTTTTTACCTGGGTTCTAGTCTGAAAAAGTGATATGAGAAGCTGTAACAATGACAGATGATTTCCAAACACTGACTTCATGAGTCTTGCTTTCGTCACCTTTTTTTTTGTGGAAAGTGATTTTTTCCTGTTAATATCAACACAGTAACCCCATAACCATTCTATTTTCCACTGATTTTCATAAGTCTCTTGCTGTTCTTTAGTAATTAAGGTTGTTTTAAGTATACTGATTTCCTACTGGGAAATGCTAGATTTTTACAACACATCAAGATCTGCTGAAAAATTACTCTCTAAACAGTGACCATTTTGCCTTTTTTTGTCAAATGTAAAATTGCAAGACTTAAAGAGAGTTTGAAATGAACAGTTCTGTTTAGACACAACTTCATCTATACAAATTAAAACAAGACTAATATGAGGCTAATATGTAGTTGCTTCCTGGTGCCAGGGCCAGAATTTAGTCAGCAGTGGTTTATACCTTTTTGTGTGCTGCTGCTATTGACCGCTGTCAGAGTAGGATAAGGGTTATGTGGGCACACCTATGGATCACTTTCTTCTTGTGCTTCTTACATTCATATGTAAAATAGACTTTAGCTATGTTAATGGGCATTATTTTAAGACTGGATTTGTGTTTTACAGTTCAAACAAGCCGTATACAAACAGACAATGAAGCTCTTTGCTGAACTGGAAATTAAGAGGAAAGAAAGAGAAGCAAAAGAAATGCATGAAAGGTATAAGCAATGTTCTGCTTGTGCAATTCAGGCTCTTCTTCCCCCTCATGCTTCCTCAGAGAAGATAAGGGACCATAGAGTCTTCAAATAGTCTAAGTTGGAATGAACCTCTGGAGATCATCTGGTCTGACCTCCTGCTGAAGTTAAGGCCTTAGATTAGATTAACAAGGGTTCTGTCAAGCTGATCTCCAATAATGTAGATTCCCCCACTTCTCTGTGCAGCCTGTGGGTTGTAGAGCTCTGTACTTGAGAAAAGCACACAGGAAATTTGCCCTCCTGTGTTGAAGGCATTAATATATTTGGTATGCTTGTATTCTCTTATGTGTACACATGGAGGCCAGCCACAACAGTGAAATGGTGACACAATTCTGCGTGCTGTTGGCATGCAAAGGATTGATTTTTAATTTTAATGAAGTGTCAGAAATACCCTGTGGCATGTGTGATCCTGAACTATTTTAGATGTTTTGATCACATGTTGCCTGAATGCTCACTGTGGATGCACTTCCTAGAGAGTGGTTCTATGCTGGTCAGTGAGGTGAGAGATGGCTGCAGGCCACTGCTTTTGATTACAGATGAAAATTAGGGGGATAAAAATTTAATTCCTACCTTGCATGTTCAAGTGGCTATCAACTTCTCAAAATATGTACTCTCAACAGTTTTAGAGACTTACCACTAGAGTTATGAAGGAGTCCAACTTGTTTTACTGAGCAGGAGAAGCTGATTCACTAATTGTGTGCATGCTGTCAGTGGGGCCAAACCATCATCTCTGCTTGCTGCTCTTCCAAATTTGAAACAAAATTCTATTTGCTGTGCTATTTAGGTGTGCATATCTATCTCTTCTGTAGTCTGTCAAGAAATCAGAAGAGCTTTCCAAGATGTTCTGAAAGTACTACTGTTTCTTTAAAGTAGATGCTTGTGGGTTCATGACTTGTGTGTGGTTCCCTTCCAGGAAGCGGCAGAGGGAAGAGGAAATTGAAGCACAAGAGAAAGCTAAACGAGAACGAGAATGGCAGAAGAACTTTGAGGTAATTAGCAGTTTAACTTTCAGGATGGGCCTCAACAATTCTTGGCCATGCTGCATGGGATGGCCACAGAGAGATGAGACCTTTTGTATGCAAGTCTATAAGATAATTTAAGTAAAAGATCTGCACTAGCCTGGGTGGTCCATGTGTAGAGAGAAGAGCCCAGAAGGGCTTTCGTATCACCTGTGCAGAAACGGGTCTGGTCAGTTAAGGTATAGTATTGTTCACCTACGTCAGCAGTTCATTCTTGTCTCTAGTTGTGAATTTGAATTGTTGCTTAGCCCAGGTCACTGGAGACTGGCAAAACTTAATCTGGCAACTGCTTGTGTGGGCTGTTGGTGGTACTTCCCAGTCTGGTTGCTAACACTTATGGAATCTGTGTCTCCTCTAAATATCAGAAACATGATTGACAGTCACTTCCCTGTACTCTGCCATGCTGCTGTCAGGGTTTAGGCGTGTCCAAAGTGGTTTGTGGTCGTTGTGCTGCTATTCTAGGGGTCAAACCTACAGCCCACCAGGATACTCGATCTAGCCTGTAACTGCTCCTTCATTACACACCAGAGTTGAAGACCTGAGACGTGCAGGGGTGGTGGGCAGGAAAGAAGTCATTAAGGATGTGCAGGACCTCATGAAACAATGAGCTAGATTGTTCATTCATGTTTTTATTTTTTTTAAATTTTTTGGTTTTGTTATCTCCTCAGGAAAGGTTTCTGCTGCTCTGCAGGTAGGGCAGGGAGAGGAGAAAAGTGCACCAGAGACCTTTTCTCATTGTGTCAATATGGTGAGACTTGGGGTGAGAAGCGTGAGAGAAGGCAGCAGTATGTTTTCCTTCTCTCTTCTCCCTGCCTCCAAGCTGCAGCACCAGGAGAGTGAGGAGGTGAGACAGAGAAAAGAGATGGCACGTTCTGGGCTGGCAGATTAGGAACAGTCATTGGAGAGGAGGTTTCTTTTTATCTTTACACATTAGAGGATTCAGCTGAGACTAGTCAGGACTGCCCAACCCAAGCTGGTTGTTTCTGAAACAAGAAACAGCAGAGTGCTTTTACTGGTGTGTCTAAGCTCACTTGTAGTTCCACTGCACTGTGTTGCTCTGGCTCTTCCCAATGTCTGTGTGTCTTAGGCTGCCAGGGGCTGCTGGATAAGGGAAAATTGCTACTGAAATGGGTATATGCTGCCTGTGCTCTGCCTCTTTCACTTTTTAACTCTCCACTTCCTCTCTGTTGTTCCCAGGAAAGTCGGGATGGCCGTGTAGACAGCTGGAGAAATTTCCAGGCAAATACAAAGGGGAAGAAAGAAAAGAAAAACAGGACCTTCCTCAGACCTCCCAAAGTAAAAATGGAGCAGCGTGAATGATCCTGGCAGCACTGCCCAAATGCAGCTCCTCAGTCCCCTCTCTGCTTTAAGGACTCATTGGCACCTAGAGTAAGATATGCTTTTTAGTAGACTGTTTGTTTCCAGTACAATTAATTATTGGTTGAAGTATTTTTTGTACTCAGTCCATTCGAAGTAGGGCCAGAGAATGACCCCGGCCAAGGCCCCGCTCCACATAGAACACTTGGCTTAGGAGAGTCCCCGCCATTCCTGCTGTCCCTGTGTCTGCTGCCCTGTAACTTGGTGTTTTGTACTTCACAGAGACTGTGCTGTTTCACCACTTCTGTTTCTAGTTTGAGAGCTGAACAAGATATTGGAAATGTATCCAAACCTTTCCAGGCATCATCTTTCTCAGCAAGTTCAGCTTGGGAAAGGTCTGGACTGGCTCTGGGATTGTGCTTCCAGCACAGTCAGTGCAGCTGGCCAGCACTTAGGTCCTGCAGCTCCTCACTGCACTGAGTGGTGCTTGGAAGGAACCTGCCCCCAAGATTTCCAAACTAAAATCCCAGCTCTCAGACTTAGACTTCTGTTAATCTCAGTGACCTGCTAGTCACTTCCTATAAAGGAAAGTAACTTCTCTTGATTAATAGTTAAGCTGCAATGGTCTGTATGTAAAATAAATTTTTACCCAAATTACTGTTTTTTTTCTTGGAATTATTAAAAAAATGCAATAACAAGGGTGTGAATGGAGTGCTACCACTGAGATGGTGCTGCTCTTCAGCATGCACACGTTACCCAGTAAGGGTCTGCTGCCATCCCAAAGTCTGTTCTGGCTTGTATTTTGAAGTGACAGTCCTCAGAGACATACCCAGGAGGCTGGGAGAGGATGGCTCTTCCTGGGATGCTGCCTGGGTGGAGGCAGGCGTGCCAGGGTCTGTGCTGAGGACTGAGCTTGTGGCTGGGCCCTGGGGGAGTGTGGATGGGTTGGGAGGCCTTGGGCACCTGTCAGGAGCATAACTCCTCGGAGCTGTGAGGTGAGCTCAAACTCATGACTTTGGATTTCTAAATTCCTGCTTTCTGTGTATTGTATGTTTTTTAAGAGATTCTGAACTATTTAATGGAATGTGCTACAGTCTCGCGTGTGCTGGGCAGGTTCCTCTGGAGACCATTCTGCAAGCTCTTCCCATCTGTCCTCATGGCCAGCCCTATACCTGGGTCCCGTGAAGAGCTGCTTCCACGAAGGTGCTGCTCTCCTTCCTTCTCACTGCTGTTACCAGCTCCTTCCACTTGTCTTCAAGTGAGTGTGATGCGTTGTGCTGCTCCTGAGCAGCGGCTCAGTCCGGCAGGATTGCTTCTGCTGGCCCTGGAGAGGTGCCTCCAGCTGCTCGTTTCCCAGCTCTCAGTTCTGATGAACTGCCTCCTATTCCTGCTGGAGAGGAGTGACATGACCGAGTTGTTGTGTTACACAACAGGTGTCTGCAGGAAGAGCAGTTCCCAGGGAAGGTGGTGCATCCTGATAGGACCAGGACTTGGCTGAACCTGCTGAAGGGGGCTGGTGCTCTCCCCTCACCTTCCTTTCTCTTCCTCATGCACTGGTCTGTGTGACCAGATGTAAAATGAAATATCCTTCCCATATAAAATGAAGGTATTTTGGTACTTTATACATTAAATAGCTCTTAACACATCAGAACACAGTTCCTATTTCCTGTATAAACACAGGAATGTAGTTTCTTGACATTACTTGTCCTGTGAGTGTAACCTGCTAAATAGATCCCTTGAGCTGAACCTCGAGGGGCAAAACATTGTTAAAGAGTAGCATGTTGGTGATGTTCGGGTGGCACATGAGCCAAACACTAATAATTAGCAGCAGACTAAGATGGGCTGGCAGGTCTGGGTGACACTGAACTGTGCAGCATCTCTGTTCAGGCACTGAAATTACTTTTTATTGGTGGAACCTAATCCTCCAGTAACTGAGAATGCATTGGTAGGACACAACTTCCTTGTCGAGGCAGCAATTGGCCATGTTTGTTCTGGGGAAAATATCAGTTAGCTTGTGGTGCTGCCTCTCAGATGTAATCTCCTCTGCTCCTTGGCTGTAAGACATGAGTAGTGCTGGGCAGCAGCTCACACCATCAGTGGTTCCAAGTGCAGTTTCTCAGTGCCCAGAGGACATGCTGCCCCTCCAACCTGTCTGCCTTTTCTTCCCTGTCAAAGTATTTCTGTTTTAAAGATCTGTCCCCATCACTTTTGTCCCAGGGTCCTTCCGTTTGACCCTGAAACACTTGTCTCTAGCAGCATTTCTTTGCTGATGGTGTGATGTCTTTGCTGCCCTTTCAGATCTTTTCTTTACATTTTTTTCAGGTAGCTCAGGATGGGCCCCGTGAGAACTTGAAACATTTGTAAGACCCATATTAAGCTCTGATTCTGCTTCTCAGAGCTGTGTGTGTTGATGAGAATGTGCCCAGGGCAGTGGCTCACCACTGGCTCTCGAGGGGTGCAGCTGGGACCAGAGTCACAATGTCCAGGTCCATGGGCTTCTGCAGTGGAGTCACTGTTTTCCAGTGGATCTGACTGGTTTGGGACAGCTTGCAACAACACAGTGTCATTCTCAATTTAGCTGTTCCTGTTTCCTTTGCTTCCTGCCCTGCCTGTGATATGCTTCTGTGTCTACATATGCAGTTTTTCCTGTCTTATCTACCCAGCCAAGTCCTGAGAAGCTTCCCATCTGCCAGAGGGGTCTTGGGCTGCACTGAAGTACCTGGCCCTTCTCTGAGTATTTCTCTGCTCCACTGGGAGGTTAATTCTGATCCTTGTATACTCTGTAGAAACAAACTGGTCTGAATTGCCTGGGTGAATACGAGTGCACAACGTGGATCCCCACAGATGCCAAGGCAGTGGGATGAATTGAATGGAATGCTGTTTAATTTCAAAAGGTAGAGATGTGTAGAGGGAGGGATCTCTAGGCCTCTGCTCTCCCTGGAGCTGTTTTTGGGTCAGTGGTTCTCACAGACTAAACTATTTGCCCTTGATGTGCAGGACCAGAAAATTCATCGGTGGGAATAAGGAGTAACTTTGTTTTCTTTCAGAAGGAGAAAAGGTATCAGGGAGCTGCAGAAGCACCTTTCAGTAGAGTCTTGGCTTTGATTTCCCATGGAAATAGCTTCTCCTCTGTGTCCAGTTCGCACAGATGTACATGGGGATCGACTAGAGTCTGGCTTTGTTTTCTGGAAGCCCAGAGGTCACTCCTGAAGCTCTTGGTTTCAATCTGAGGAAGGGAGCTTGTCTTTCCCTCCCTATGCACTTGGCAAAGGTGTGTCTGCTGTTCACTAGTGGGATGGGAAAGGACCTTTGCAAGGTACTTGTTTTCTTGTGTCTGAAGATAGAAAAGGGCAACTGCAAAAGAAACAACTCACATGAGGATAAAGAGGAGGGGGCAGCACCTTCCTGCCGGTGCTACTGTGCAATTTAGTGATGAGAATGGAGGATCCCGAGTGTGTAGACAGGCTGAGGTCTTGATTTCACCGGGTAGTAAAGCCATTCAGTAAAGGCTAGACCAGGTTATGGCCTGAGGGCTTAGCCAGAGATGAAATCTCTTCTTGATAATACATAAATCGGTGTTTTACTTAACGTTTATCTTAGTTTGGCAAACACAGTGATGTGCTCTGAATTCGCCATCAACCCCTTCTCCCTGGGCAGGAACAGCTCGTTCACTGTGTGCTATTTGTATTTCAGGCCTTAGCTAGTTTTGGGGGGATTAACTGCAGCCAGTGAAGTACTGAATAGAGGGACCCAGGTGAGAGAGATCAATGGCTTGTCCTCTCCTCTCCTTCCAGATGACAGGTTCTTTTGCTAGTCTTTCTCTTAAAACAACTGAAACTGGAGACAACTGTGATAGGTTGGCCTTTAATGTAGTGTTTCCCTCAGAAACAGGAGGGTGATAGCAGCGTGATATCTACAGAGATGGGCTGCCTTGTCTTCCTTTTCCTCTTGCAAGCTGCAGTGTGAGCCAGACCTCCCCTGCTGGGGCAGCTGAGTCCTACATTCCTAGGGTTCCCTCAACCTGAGGGAACAGCATGAAGTTGTATCAGGGGAGGTTTAGGGATCTCAGGGAAAGGTTCTTCCCTCAGAGGGTGGTTGGGCACTGAACAGGCTCCCCAGGGCAGTGGTCATGGCCCCAAGGCTGCCAGAGCTCCAGGAGGGTTTGGACAATGATCTCAGGCATATGGGGGGATTGTTGGGGTGTCTGTGCAGGGCCAGGAGTTGGACTTTGATGATCCTTGTGGGTCTATTCCAACTCAGGACATTCTGTGATTCTACAACTCACTAGAAGAAAAGGGGCGTTGTCCCATGTTGTCCCCCAGCACAGCGTGCCTGGCCTGGGGCACCCCCCCTGTGTGGGTCTGCACTGCCTGGGTTGGAAACCTCCCTTGCTTTGTTTTCCAGAACTCTTGGCAGTGCATCTCCTGCTGCTGGGGCTCCCCTGCCTTCCCCACCTGGTTAGCTCCTTGTGCTCCTTGGCAGGTGCAGCTCTCACAGCCCTGGCTTTGTGTTGTGAACAGAAGGGGCAGATGTTTGAGGGTGCAGCTTCTCTTGGCCCCGATGTCAGCACTGCAGCGAGCGCCGTGCACGCTCTGCTCTGGGATGTAGCTGAGCTGCCTTACTCACTGCTGAGGCTCAGCAGCCTTCCTATGAGGAAGCCTCTCTGTCATACCAGCTGGAGGGCTTTGGACTCAGGGGATGAGAATGGGCACGTGCCTTGGGGCAATTAGGTCTTTGTAGCAGGAGATCTCTGCTGCAGCCCACTCAGAGCCATTCAAATGGGCCTCTCTGGCTGCCTGCTGCATTCACATTCCCTTTCTGGGATATACAGTTGTCTGGCAGCAGTAAGGACACTCTGGGCACTCTTGTAACAGTTTGTTCTGGGTGGAAGAGTTGCAGCAGTGTCTTTTTGTTTCCATGAAGAGCACCTGTAAAGGAAAATAACACTGGCACATGTGCCAGTGTGATTGTTGCAGTTCAGATCACAGAACTTGAGTGTTTTGGGGAAGGACATCTGTAGGTCTTTAATTTGATCTTGCGTTTGAGGTGGGGTTGTCACTAATGGTAGGTGAGATCTGGGGTTTTATATGGGCAAGCATAAGGATGAGGACCCCCCCCTCCTTCCTGGGTTCCCATCCCAGGGATGAACACCCCTTGTAGCGAAAATATTTCACTGACATTCATCCTGACTGTCCCTCACCCAATTTGTGGCTGTTGCCCGTTGTCACACCGTTTGTCACTACTGAGAAGAGTTCATGTCTGTCCTCTGCAATTTCCCTTACAGCAGCTGCAGGCAGTGATCAGATGGTCCCTCTGCCTCTGGGCTGTTCTAGCCCAGCTCCCTCAGTAGGATGTGCCTCAAGCTCAGACTGTGGTGCCAGCTCTCTGCTTCTCCAAATTCTCCACATCCCTTTTGTGCTGCCCACGCTGTTCTGGGTGCAGTGTCACCAGTCTGACACAGAGGGGACATGAACTGCCCTCGTTCTCTGGCTGTGTGCGTGGCAGAGCCTGGCTGCCTTAATCACAACCTGGCTGGCAGCCTCCTCGTTGGGAAAGGCCATACTGGTGCAGTTTGGTTGACTGGGAAGCTGGGGTGCTTCCTGCAGCTCTGCATACTCCAGCTGGGTGCCTGCCAGCCTTACTGGGGGGCTCCAGGA